GTAGAAGATGCCTTCACTTGAGCAAGTGGAGTGTCTTCACTTGAGGCAAGGTGTTTTGATGATGTTGTATGTATCTAGAGTTTTGTTTGAAGTTGGTGACAGTCTGGTTCAAGAATGGCCAGCAGCTTATTGCAAAGGCATGATGCACTGTCGCGGTCAAACAAGGATGTCCCACTCTCTTCAGTTTTTAGACACTCATTCGAAAACAGGATTTATCATAAATTCATATGGCTAAACTCTACATATATCTCCTCCTCTATGCTGATAATTTACTTCTGTTCTCAACAGGCTTATAACACCAAGTTCACCACTTAGTAAGGTTCTGTTGCCTTACTGGCTTGTCTGTAAATCTCACAAAAACACAGACCATGATCCTTGGTCAAGTTGATCACAACAACATGAATGATGGTGATCTTCACTATGAAAACCAAGTGCTTGTTCGTGTTGAGAAATACAAGTACCTTGGTTACATGGTGCACACTAGGGATCCCTGGAAGATAGGAACAGCATAAAGAATTCAAGCTGCCACCAATGCTTACTACGCACTCCAAAGTTATCTCAAACAAGTTGGCATCTTTTGATGGGACGCTGCAGGCAATATTATCACACCAAAGTCATCACAGTATTGACATATGGAGGTGAGGTTTAGGACCTTGGCTTGCCAAAAGCTGTATGGAAGAAAATGGAGCAACTAAATTGCTAGTTTCTCAATGCTACGTTTGGATGCAACAAGGTGCCCATTGGGATCATGATCATGGAATCTGGTATACTCCCAATTGAGGTCTACATGTGGAGGAACACAATACAGTACCTTCTGAATCTGATAGGCCAAAAGTGAGAGAAAATGGTTCAATATGCTATCTCCAACTCCATTGAGCTTGCAAGACACAACTGGATAAGGGTGGTTTCACACAAATGAACAACATGTCTTGGAATGGATCTTGACACTTTGCTTGACCTATGTTCCAGCACAATGGCTTCAATGAGCATTTTGAATGGTGGCTCCAAGGTGCAGATCATGATCAAAAGTTCCACCACTACCTCTCCACGGTCAACATGGATCAAGGTGGGAATCTATCTTTGTTATTGACAGATTCACCAAGTCAGACATGTTCTTTGTGTTGAGGGAGTGGCACTGTGAAGCGATCAGCAGGTTGTAAGCTATGCAATCTTGGACAAAGTGTTGAACAGTTTTGATTGCTTGAGTGCATAAGTACCCTCCCTTGACATTTTGCATCCAACCTCAGAGTGAAGATGATGCTGGCCTGTTCTGTATAGTGGGAAAATTCTACAATGTTCTGTCCCATGGGCATGTGCGGTTTTAGGGCTTGGGATTAGGGTGTACGGGTTGGCCTCTTGGATACTATGCTAGTATGCTTGTATAGGTGTTCAATTGCATTGACCAGTGCATTTAATTTCCAGAGTCTCCAGAAGAGCTACAGTAACAAATGCTTTACTGAAATCAACAAAACAAAAAAGAGTTGCTTTTGTTTTGCGAATTTTTCATACAATATGCGTAGCATAATGAAATGATCTGTGCAGCCATTCTGTGGTCTAAATCCTGCCTGGCCGACAGCTCGTTTGGAGTTGAGTTCACTCCATAATACAAGATGATACTCAAGAATGCTTGCAAATAATGGAGCTCACCATGATAGTGCGATAATTTTCAGGTGGCCTAGGATCACCAGACTTGTGGATTGGAAAACACGGTTAATTGTCCATTCAACACTGTTCGCACGTTAAAAAAAATTGGCGGAAGTATTTTCAAGGGGAAGATCATGTCACAAACTTGGCATCATTAAAGTCTCTATGGCTCCAAGGATTTAGTCTTCTCTAAAATGAAGTATTCGTGAGCATTGTCAGGGACAATTTGGTCTCGAGACTGTTGGCTGTAGAGTTGCTTGTCGGCAAGGAGAATAGGTTTTGCAAGCTAAAGCTTTTTGTGGTGTAGTGCTTGGCGTACATTCTCGAGATTCTTCTTGAGGCAGTGGCGATGTTGCTTCCATTTGCATAGCAGGCAGAATTGTTGCTGAATGTCTGCTGCATCAGGTGCACCCTCTCATGTTTTACGCTTTTTGAGGTGATGTAGTCTCTAGGGAATCTGCCAGCTTGTTTGGTAGTGTTCTGTGGGAAGGTGTACTGAGCAGTTGTAGTGGCACGAAGGAGGAGTGCATCATGTTCCTCTAGTCGGTTTCTTCACTCGTTCACTGTAGAGTGGGTTATGTTATGGTGGTAAAACAATTCCAAGTGGGTAGTGATCTGAGACCCAGGGGTCTGGAAGTTTGTTGTGTGTGGGTTGAGTTCCAGACTTGTGAGTGCATAGTCAACAACGCTGGTAGTATAGCAGGTGTAATTTGTTGTGTCTGGCCACTTCGAGTTGCCATTTAAGATCTGGAGGCACACAACATCAGTGAGTTGTAGAATTTGCTTCCCTGCTCTATTGAGAATTGTGTCTTCAGAGTGCCGGGTATGCAACTCGGCTGGCAGTCTGTTCGAGCATTAAAGTCCCCAAGGACGACAGTGGAATTAAGTTGGTGTTTCATAAGGCAATTGAGGAGACTTGATTGTATGAGGACCCAGGCAAGGGGGAAATAACGATCAGGTATTCATCAGAGATGGAGCTGGTTGTGTACATATGCTGTTACTCTTCCATTGCCGCGGGGAGTGCCAGAGCATAGCCTGGCAGTTGAGGCAGGTGGAATGATGCTCCCACGTCTCACCAAACCCAGCAATGTCATCCATTCTAGCAAGCCATTCCAACGTGTGGCAAATTGAGGGCATATTTCTGGATACCTAATGTTCTTGCCCTATTTGTACAAGTTAGAAAGGTTTAAAGTAACGAAGTGCAGTCGTGGCCTCACAACAACACAACCAAGCCATCACCAGCAACTACCACAGGTGATCACAACTCCCGATTCCAAACCATGCATTGTTTGTAGTGACTTATTTCTAGAGAAAGTCTGAGGAGTGCAAGATCAGCTGAGCTGTTTTTGGATTTCTACTCTTGTATGTCTTGTATGTTTTGCTGGGAACATCTCCAATCGTTTCTCCTCGGCAACCCCACTGGCTGGCACCTGCAAGGATTGCATCAGTATTGTGGCCACAGGGAGGAGGGGCTGTCGTTTTATCTGCAGTTCGTTGCCAAGGTTCTGAATGCTGGTGTCGACGGAAGTTGGTGAGTCGGTGAGTAACTTTTTTGGTTGTGGTCCTCTGTTGACTGGAAGTTTGAGGAGAAGGTAATCAAGTTCCTCCTGGACTTGTGCTTTGTATTTGTATGACCGATTTTGATTTTTGCTGTCGTTTGCCTTTTGGAGTGAAGTGCACTTTTTCGACTTTTTCTAGTACCAGCGAGTCCACAATAGTCTCCCAAGGATCGTCAGGATTTTCAGCTGCCAGAAATATAATCAGGAACATACCATCTGGAGACTTGCCTTGCTTAAACAGCCTTTCCGTAAAGGCTGTTTAAGCTCTCGAGTTTCTTTCTGTAAACGTTGTTGAAGCTCTTGACTTTCTTCCTCTCATGCATAAATCGCTCATGGTCGTATCGCTGAAGCTCAAGTATTCGTGTCTGAGTCTCAAGGGAACCCAATTTCGTCTCCAATGGAGCCCTTTATTTCAGCATAAAAGATAGCTGAAACTTTGAAAGATTAAATTAATCAATTTAAAATTTAAATTACCATTAAAATAAAATCATTCTTTAATCTTATATAAAAAATTTAGGATTACAGAATATTCGTCTTATCGACAAAACAGGATAGCGAATATTCTTCTAACTGACAAAACAGGAATAAAGAATATCCTTCTTATTGACAAAACAGTGTGGTTGTAGTACTTTCGTCGGCCAAGCGTTCGATGCGCTGATCCAGACGCTAAAATGTACACACAGCCACATACACACACAGACACACACACACACAGACACTTATATTACACGTGACCGACGATCCATCGCATTGCCACTGAGATCATCGCCTCTTAGATCCGGAGGAAGAAAATGCTGAGCTCCGGCGCACCACTCCCGTTGGGATTCACCATGTAGAGCGCCTCCGAATCGTTCGATCCGACCACCCTCTCGAACTTGGCCCTCATGTACATGAGCTCCTCGCCGGGAGAGGGCGAGGGATTCTCCCCGGGAAGAACCCCCGCGCCCATGGACACCGACTGGACGAGACCCAGGACCCTGGCATCGCTAGCGCCGCAATGCCGGCTCACCGCGTAGCCCGCCTTGCGCCCATTGCAAAACATCGACCAGATCGACTCCTGGAAGAGAAACCCCCGATTGCTGCCCCCGCGCTCGCATTCCAGCGCGATTCTCAGCAGCCCCGACGACATCTCCCGGACCAGGCAGCTCGTCGGCGTCGCGAGCTCCAGCAGCACCACGGGCTCGGATTTGGGGTCTTCTTGGACTGCAAGGAAGACGTGACCCCGACGATAGCCATAGAGCGTCCCGACGACGATGCTGCCCACGGATTGCTGCGAGGAGGAGGACGATCCCTGGGGAAGCGCGAGCCACTTGCAAGGGGGAAATGCCGGGATCGGCAAGAAGCTCATGAACTTCCTGAGAATGCCGCGGAGGAATCTGTTGTGCCGCCAGCCCGAGGCGTGCGATTGTTCCGGTGGCGACGCGGCGGAGGAATCGCAGTTGCTGCGCAGCGCCACCAGCGGACCGGCAGCCATTGCCGCATCTTTCTTGTACTTGGCCCCCATGAAGAACCCTAAAAAAACCACTAGTAGATCGCTAGCCGTTCGTGGTTTTAAATGGCCAACGGACGGGACAATCGGACGGCTGGGATTTGTTTTACTGTAGAGACCTTGTGTGTCTAGCCGCAGTGTTTGCAAAGTGGCCGATCTAATGCTGGGAAAGAACACGCCATGGAAGGAATATTTTAAGATCCTTGTGTCACATTGGAGAGAGTTTCTTAAGCGCTAACGCTGTCTTTAGCGAAAGATTATATCTTATGCCAAGAACCCTAAAAAATAGTTTGGAAGGGGGGAAAGGATTCTGGGGTTTTGGATGCTCCGCCATGGCGCCGGGAGATCGATTGCGGCGCAGGGTTGGATTCGCAGTCGGCGAGGTATGTGCATTTGCGCCGCCAGGGCCAGCGACAGCCGCGAGCTGGTGGAATGCGTCGTCGATCCATCCGAGACGATGCATCCCGAGAGGCTGCTGCTGCTGCGGACGCGGCCATTCCTCTACAAGATCATCAACGTTCTCAACAAGCCAGAGCTCGTCCCCAGCCTCAAGGAATCGCTCAAGGTGTGGGAGGGATTCGTGGATCCGTTGCTAGTCGGGGAGGCGCTCAAGCACGTCGATAGAGGCCACGCCGCCCTCGCGTTCTTCAACTGGGCGGCGACGCAGCCGGGATTCAAGCACAGCACCTACACTTACAATTGCCTCATCCGGTGCCTGGAGCTCGCGGATTGCCAGGTGATCGTCTACGACATCTTCCAGAGGATGCTCTACATCGATCTGGCTCCCACCTCGTTCACTTTTGACGTGACGCTGCGATCGCTGGGAAGAACCGGCGAGCTGGACAAGCTCAAGGTGGTGTGGTCGGAGATGAAGAAGCTCAAGCTCTCGCCGCATCCCAGCACGTATGAGTCGATCCTCCACTGCTACTGCAAGAACGGGGAGGTCGAGGAGGCCTATAAGATCTTCTCAAGGCTGATCCAGTGGCCGGAGCCGATATGCTTCCCACACCTCTTCTACAACAAGTTTATCGGGCTCCTCACGCAGACCCACAACGTCGGGACCGCCTATCTCGTGTTCCTGGAGATGATCGAGAGTGGCTACGAGGGCAACGTCGACACGATTGGAAAGCTCGTCATCGCCCTTCACAAGGCTGGGAGGCACTTGAGCGCTTGCAAAGTCTTCGACGAGCGCGTGCGGATGTTCCAGACGGCTCTCACGGGAAGGCTGGGCGTGCCAGGGGACTCCATCGCGGATCACTATCTCTATCACGCTGAGAAGACAAAGAGGCTGTGGCGAGCGGCGGTGCTTAGCACCGATCCCAGGAAGAAGAGAAGATATGGTGGCCCAACTTGCCTTAAGAGGCATGGATACTGAGAGTTCGAGTTGGGGCACAAAAAAGAGTTCGTGGAGATTATCAAAGATCTCGCTGTGGAGAAGAGCTCCGTCCTTCACTCTTCGAGGTCCAGCTCCAAGCTCCACAGCTCCAAGGGGTGCTTGGCGGTACAGAGAGCTGAGTTTCTGGGACGTGGTTCAAAGGGCAGGAGTTCCAGCCAGCTTCAATCTTCTACAGCTCCAAGGGATAGAAAGAGCAAGAGCTATGGAACAGCTCCATCCGGGAACAGGGGTGCTTGGTGATAGAAAGAGCTGTGGAGTTGATCTAACAGCTCCATCCAGGGACGTGGTTCTCATCATAAGAAAGGAGTTGCAGCCAGCTTCAACCTTCTACAACTCCCAGGGTGCTTGGCGATAGAAAGAGCTGATGGAGCTGATGGAACAGCTCCAACCAGGGACGTGATTCGGAGTTCCAGCCAGCTTCAAGCTTCTACAGCTCCCAGGGGATCAAAAGAGCTATGGAGCTGATCGAACAGCTCCATCCAGGAACAGGAGGAGTTCCATCCAGCTTCAAGCTCCCAGGGGTGCTTGGCATAGAAAGAGCTGTGGAGTTGTTCGAACAGCTCCATCCAGGGACGTGGTTCTCGCCACCAAAACGGAGGAGTTCCATCCAGCTTGAAGCTTCTACAAGCTCCCAGGGGTGCTTGGCGATAGAAAGAGCTATGGAGAGCTCTCAAAAAGGAGGAGTTCCAGCTTCAAGCATCACAGCTCCAGAGCAAGTAAGTGGAAAGTTTTGGTGTTTTATATCTAGAGACCCCAGATTTCTTATGTATGTTTGGACAGGACTTAGAAGATGTCTTCTGGCCGAGGAGGCTGCCATGGATCTTGTTTGCCGGTGTCCAGTGCTATTCCGAACAAGTTGGCCGGGCAACAAAAGATGAGCTCCAGCTTCTTGCTGCCGCATCCTTCGAGCTCGCCAAGCTTCATCTCTCTGGGAAGGCTGGCCAGCGGCAGCGGCGTCCACTCGCCACGCTCGCGGTTGAAGTAGTGCAGCGGCCACGACTTGCGCGCGATCTTGCTCCTCTCGCGAAACGCCGCCATGAGCTCCTCCACGCTGGGCGCCTCCCGGAAATCGATCGAGTGCCGAGTCTGGGAAACCGCCATTGCTTTCGGCGGCTTGCCGAGCAGCTTGTGTCCGGGCATGTCGATCCACAAGTCCTGTAAAGCTCCTGGAAGAAGAACAAGGTGAGAGAAAAAACCAGTGTTCTTCGCCAAAGATCCTGCTACCTCGAAGCGAGCTTTCTGGGCAATAGACTCTTCGTAGGACTTTTTGGTTGTAGAAATCGGCATCTTCGATTTCCTCTTCAAGCTCGCTCTCGATCGCCTCGAGTTTTTTTGGATCCACCTGCGAGGTAGCGGTGCTCGGCGTCCACTTGCTCGCACGCTTCCCCGAAGATCTTGGTGCCGCGGCGCTCCACCTCTTGCAAGTACTCGTCCGACTTTTCACATTACAAGCGCCAAAATCTCGAATATACCTTTAGGGTTCTAGGGTCCAACTTAAACCCTAAAGCCTAGGGTTTACCTTTATGTTAAAATGTTTTAGGGTTTAAGGACTATCGCGATGGAGGAGGAGAGGGGTAAGGGCATGGCGCGCTCGCGATTCCGTCCTGGGCCGATATTTCGATCTTCTCTTTTCTGCAGAGACTCTGGCCGATGCCTCGGAGAAGGATGTGCAGCGGCTCTTGGATCGGGTGCGGGGGAAATCCAGCAAGAAAGACAGCTCTAGCGCGCCGAATTCCAGTGCGGTATGTTGTTTGCAGGGTGGAACAGGGGGGCTAATGATCGATCCGTGCCCTCGATCAGAAGCGCTGCATTTGGGACTCTTCCAGAGCTGCCGCTACCGCGTCGGTTTGTGGCGCGCCGGCGGCGGTAGCGCAGTCGCACCAGGAGATTTTGCTGGCGCGGGAGAAGAATGCGGCCGAGAAAGGCAAGATTGAAGCCCCGGAAGACGATATCGAGTGGGAAGTTGGTGATGGGAATTTCCAGTGCTTGAAAAATGGCTTAACGATAGAAGTGGAAAAGGATGTCGGTGGAAAGAAGAAAATCACAAGGAGAGCGAACGCAAAAGACAAGGTTAGTCTCTCTTTCCTTTACGATTGTTTGTTTGTTCTTCTTTTCTTTTCTCTCAATGAGTTTAGTGTTACAGGAATTCGCGGAGCTTGTTCATAAGCTGCATCTCTTGTGTTTGCTGGCTAGAGGGAGGCTCGTGGACGCTGCCTGTGACGACACGCTACTCAAGGTTTCGAGATTGTTTTGTTTTCCAAGTGTGAGAAGTTTAAGATCTATTCTGATGCAGGGATTGGTTTATTCGCTTGTGCCAGCTCGGTTTTCTTCGTCCATCGAGCCGGAGAAAACGACTGTGTCGACTCTGACTGCTCTTGTAAGATGGGTAAGACATGTTTGTTTTGTCGGGTACTTTTGCTGCATGATTTCTTATGTCTTCTTTTGCTTTGTATCTATCAGCTCAATGGCGTGATGCAAATTGCTGTGGGATCTGTGAGTGGACCCTTGTCCGAGTTGAGTAAGGTCCTTTCCCGGCAATTTGGTTCAGAAGAAGAGGTAACATGCGTTTTCTCTCTTTTATGAACTTAGTAAATCGTTTTTAGATTGCGGCGATCACAGTGGCCATGTTCCGCGCTCTGACATTTAAAACCAGGTTCGTTCGTGTTGGAATCCGGTTTTACTCACGAACTAAGGTGTGGCGTGACAGATATGTCTGCGTTTTGGACGTGGCTTCCATAAAGCCCGATACAGAATCGATGCTCGCTTCGGAAAACTGGGAAGAAAATATAGCGGACTCTAGAACAAAAGCAGGGAAGCTTTTCACAGATTTTAGATCTGGTGGCTCACCAGATGTTTGGACGTTGAAACGTGAAACCGAAGACTTAACAACTTCGCCAGTTTCGACATCTAAGAGCGTACTGTCCAACGACAGCCCTGAACCATCAAAACCTCAATCAACCAGCAAAAAGAGGAATCACACGCCAACTTCAAAGCCTGCTGTCAGCAATACAGATGAGACGACTCCAGCCACTCAACAGAAAAGAAAACGAAGGGGTGATGAAGAGTTCGAGCTGGAAATGGCACGGGCAATGGCTGCGACCAGTGCAGCAGTGATATCTACACCCCAACCTGCTCCTAAAGTTGTTCAGCCCAAGCCCCCTCCGCCGGTGGTTTGGTCTCGAAAGAAAGGTCCTCTCCTGCACTGGGCAGAAGTCTTTTGTGGCGATGACAGCTCGGGAAGATGGATTCACGTCGATGCTGCTCGAAATCTGGTCGATGACGCTGAGAAAGTCGAGGCCTCGAGCAAGCAGCCAGTTCGTTACGTCGTCGCGTTTGCTGGATCCGGAGCAAAAGATGTGACTCGCAGGTAGATACATTTTGCTTCAAAATTCTCGCCGTCTCATCCATTTTTTCGAATTAACAGGTACACTACTTCCTGGTCCAAGATACAGGCATTGAGAGTGGACGAAGGATGGTGGAGTTCATGTCTCTCTCCTCTTAGGCGCTTGGAATCAAATGCATACGACTCACACAGAACTTCAAACGAAGGTGACCATCTAATGCTATATGTTTTAGCCTTGACGTCGTGCCACTGTCAGAAAGGAACACGAGAGAAGATATGGAGCTGGATGTGAAGTCTTTTACTGAGCCCCTACCAACAAACCAACAGGTATTCGAGCATTCCATGGGCAATCTTCTTTACCACGCGTCGTCCACAGGCGTACCGAAACCACCACTTGTATGTCATGGAACGATGGCTGACAAGATACCAAGTGCTACATCCGAAAGGGCCCATTTTAGGCACTTGTGGTGGCAAGCCTGTTTATCCCCGGACGTGCGTTCAGGATCTTCACACCAAAGAACGGTGGCTACGAGAAGGATTTGCTGTGAGAGAAGGAGAAGAGCCCGTCAAGGTATTGTCACTCACCAGAATATCACGACCAAATGACAATCGCTTTTGTTATTGCAGATCATAAAATCTCGTAATTTGGCCCGCAAAGTAGAGGGAGCGCCCGACGAGCCTTCTCTAGTGCTCTTGTTCGGAAAATGGCAAACCGATCCATGGCAACCTCCGCCGGCAGTGGATGGAATTGTTCCAAAAGTAAGGCCTCAATCTCTTTGTGCATCTCTGAGCGTTTGTTTTGTGGATTTAGAACGAGCGAGGCCATGTGGATGTATGGTCAGAAAAATGTATACCTCCTGGAACCGTGCACCTCGCGCTCCCGCGGGTGACCCCGGTCGTCCAGATGCTGGGGATCGACTTCGCACCGGCAATGGTCGGGTTTGAGATCCGGCAGGGACGCTCCGTACCAGTTTTCCAAGGGGTGGTAGTGTGCGTTGAATTCAAGGACGCCATCCTACAGGTAAGCAAAATCTCGTCACACCGTTTTCAGAAGCTGATGCTGTGCGGAGAAAAACCAAAGGTGTACCGCGCGGAAGAAGAGCGAAGGGAGGCCCAGCTCCGAGAAAAGAGCGAGGCACAAGCGGCTCTACGGTGGAGGCAGCTGCTGCGTTCCATGGTGACGAGGGAGAGATTGCGAGCAGCGTACGAAGACAAAGGTGTGAGCAGCAGCGTCCCAGAGGCGGAGGAAGAAAAGGCCCGGGCTGCTGCTGACGATTCGAGTGCTGCTGCCAGTGATGATCGAGCGGCGAGGAGGAGGCCCGCAAAGGCGGATGATGAGAACCACGTCCACAGCTTCCCGGACGAGTGGCAGAGCTACGACGAGGAGGCGTGCGTTCGGATCAAGCGCTGTGGCTGTGGCTTTGAGCTGCGAGTGGAAGAAATGTAAGGTATGTTTTCAGCTTTCAAGGATAGAATCTACAAACTTTGATGGCCTTGGACTCTCGCCTTTTTAGAGGCATGGAGGACAATCACCAGGTAAGTTGGAGACACAGTCGTTAAGATGAATCGTTTTGGGATGTTGGGTGATGGGGGTCTTCTTGGTCCGTGCAGATAAAAGCTATTAAATCCGTGCTCGAAAACATCGCCTGAAAGCAATCGGTGGCTAAGGTCTGTGCAACAGCCTCTCTCCAAACTTTGAGCTGCCATTTTGTAGCATGAATTTTAATCCGAAGTTAGCTCATCTTATTCGTGGAAGGTGAGCAAATATTTAATTTGTTTTCCCTTTGAGAGTTAAATTGATATTCAATTAACCCTAAATCTTGCTGGTGATCAAGGCGCTAGTGCCTGCACTCATCTTGTCAAAGGTTTGTGCGCATATCTCGTTTCACAGGCAAGCCCTGCATTGGCAAAATTGCGATCCAAGCTCTACTACTTGCACATAACCATGAAGAAGATCAGACCTAGTGTGCTCTAAATGGTTACTAAGGTACATCCACACCAAAAGAAAAAAAAAAATATGTTGCTTCTAATAACAGTGGGAGGCTTTCTAGTTTGTGACCATCAACAAACTCTCTTAGTAATATTGCAACTATTATTATTAAGATTTTTAGACAAAATACTGCAATTCTTATTTTGTAAAGTTTCTTTCTTTGAAATATTACCATAATAACAAAGCCAAGCTTCTAAGATTCATAAACAACAGGACTAGTATTTTCCAGTTAACAAGAAAAGGTTGAATTAATAAGGATATTATAAATATAATAGCCTTCAAAGCACAGAATCAACCGAGCCGAGAATTTGTGAATTGCTCAACAAGCATTGAATGGCTATGATGGATCCCATCGCTGGAAACCATAGGACATGGCCATTACGCCAGAAAATCTGGTGATTAGAGCAAGTTCATCAAATGTCTAAGTAAGCATTAACATTTAAGCACGAGGAATCTCGCAAAGTTTTGCCGCACTCAAATTTTTCTTTTGAGATACTTCTTCTCTTTATTCCTTTCTGGCCAAATGGAATCTTTTCCTTTTCTCTTTTTAAAGGTATTCTAAAAATTATCCTTCGAAGCATTACGTGGGATTGAAGCAAAGGTGATTTACAAATAGCACGCCATAGCTCCCATCGGATGCTGCTACACACAGTTCCTCTCGCTCCATACGCGAAGTTCCGCTCCCCCTCATCAGCGCGTGATCTTTTTTCTTGTGCGAACAGACGATGAATATCGGCATAGGGATAGCGCTTACTGCTGCTGCTGCGGTTGCAACACCCGCCGTAGTTTCTGCGGGCATCGCAGCTGCTGGTTTCGCGGGGGCGGGGATCACCGCCGGATCAGCAGCGGCGAGTATCATGAGTCTTTATGGTGGTGCTGTTCCTGCGGGAAGTCTGTTCGCCATTCTCCAGTCTGTAGGCGCTGCCGGCCTTTCCACTACCGCTGCAACTGTAGCCTCTGCTGTGGGTAGTGGCGTTACTGCCGCTTGCATCGCGTACGTATTCTGAAAAATTCCACTATGGAGCTTTGTGTATTTACAGTAAAAGTATGATAACGTTTAAGAAATTCATGACTTGTGAGCGTGGCTCTCTGACGATTATCGCCATATCTCGACGATATTGCCATCCCCACTGGAGGTAAGTCCCAGGTAAGTAGAGTTCTCTATTTTTCCAAGGCTTTTGCTTGTCGATATGTACATCAACTGACCGAACGAATGGCCAAACTGTGTTGCGGGGCATCATTTTTTTTGTTTTTTTTCCCTCTTGTTTTCGTTCTAAGATTGATTCGCGCAGGTAGGAGAAACCGAGATGAAAGAAGCTTAAACGCAACAAAGCTAACAGGCCCAAGATCTGCTGCTGGTGATGCCCCCTCCAAAGTTCATGGCAGCGGCAAGGGCATCGATGTTGCTGAGAAGGACTCGGCACTCTGCCAGTCACTGGAGACCGGGGGCGAGGTCGGGCTGCAAGATCAAGCTCAGGATGTCAGGCCGGAACGTTCTCATCAACTTCTGGGTACTTTTGTGCCAGCTTCAGTGTCTGATTGGATGCACGACGTTCAACTACACCTTGAGGCTCTTCTGCATTGGATTCACCAAGCGGAGGCCGAAGAAAACTTGCTACGCTCTGTCAAATTAGATCACGGTCAGAGTTCAATGCGGCCGGGTGCTCGGGCATCGGGATTTGCAATCATCGCAATCATCGCAGGAGGACGAGGATGCTCTCTCGCAGGGAATGGAGGCTCCGTCCAAGCTCCGAGCTCAGACCACGCTCCATATGCATGTCCTTCCACGCCCTCTCTTCCAGGTTAAATCCAAAGCTCTTGCTCCAAGCTCCAAACTCCAAAGACGATCATCAAAACTGGTACGTAGCTCTGCGTCCTTTTCATCTTTCCAATACTTCCACATCCTCTACACTCCATGCTCCATCCATGCTCCAAGCTTTCATGATCCCAGCTCCAGCCTTGGTCCTTGCTCCAATCCTTGTGCTCCAAGTCACGCTCTGCTCCATGCTCCATGGCGTTGCCACTCTTGATTGGAACTGTTCCTCACTGGCAATATCAATGGATTGGGCTGGCATGTCAATCTGGATCATGTAAAACTTCTGATTAAATAAGAAACTAGCTAGTGTTAGCTTGTGGCTGATTTGAGCCGAAGATGAGCATTGACTTTCGTTGGAATGGGGTTTTGATGTCTTACCGAGTCAACGCAAATTGATCACGGTTTATCTTACTAATTCGAAGAAAGATTTATAGAAATGGCTTTATTGTGTTTTGAACTTGAAGGAACCAGCTGGCCTGACACAAAGTAGTAAAAGTATAGTATCATCTGTTCTGTGGTAGCCTGGCAGGCTGGCTAGGATAAATAGGTGGTAAATGTAGTTGTTTGTGTGTGGTAAAGTAAGTATGAGCTGGACTGGACACTGAACTGATGGCATGGATGGGAGAGAGATTGATTTCCGATTTTGATTGATCGTATAGTTTGTGACTCATGATTCCGGAGCTACGTACGTAGCAAACGGCCCCTACGTAGCCGTAGAGAGAGAGCTATACATATAATGCTTTGAGAAGCGAGCTCCAGGAGGAGCGGTCGTTGTCTCCCTGGAAATTTTGATTCTTCCGTTTCGTCGTCTCGGACGGAGCAAAAGATAGGCATGTCGATGGTCGAATCCCAACAGACAAAAGCAAAAAACAATTCAAAAAAAAAGAGAAACTTTTGTATTTTTCAATTTTTTCCTAAGAAAACACATTTGCAAATGTTGGAAAAGAGAGACTGATTTTCCAGCCTAAAAGTGAAGCACTGGCACGCAGCCAGGGGATGTGAGAATCACTCACTCGAGCGCCCAATTCTCTTCTCACGTGTTCTGCGTTGCTCTGCTCTACTGTGGCTTTCGATTCAAGCTACCTTTGAAACGCTACGTACCCCGCTATAAAACCTTCCTGGAGGAAGGAGAGAACAAATAGATTCATAGGCCTTTGTTTTGGGCGATCGAAACTCTCGATCGATCGAGTTGGTTCTCTCCTGTTCTTGTCAATCAAAATCGAGTTCTTTGTAGTGCATAGAGATGGGGCGTCTCTTTGTGCTTGGATTCGTGGTAGTTCTCGCTGCTTCTTCACTGGCAGCAACCGTGAACAAGAACTTCAACACCGACTTCGCGGTGACCTGGTCGCCGGATCACGTCAACACTCTCTTGGGTGGTAGTGCTCTCCAGCTCCGGCTCGACAATTCATCTGGTAGAGAAAAGAGATCCTCTCACATTTTTCTTCCTTTTATTGATCTCACCGTCTCGATTGGAATCCTCTGATTGTTAGGATCTGGATTTGCATCGAAGGGCCAGTTCCTGTTTGGAAAGATCAGCATGGACATGAAGCTAGTTCCGGGAGACTCGGCCGGAACAGTCACAGCATACTACGTAAGTTCCACATCACGATTCACGATTCACGATTCGATCTTGAGAGCATTTCGATCTGGATCTAACATAGCATTTGCTTTTCTGTTTTCTTGCAGCTCACATCGGGCCAAACACCCAATCGAGACGAGCTCGACTTCGAGTTCCTGGGAAACGTTTCCGGCGAGCCATACATTCTCCAAACCAACATATACTCCAATGGAGTTGGAGCGAGAGAGCAGCGGATCTTCCTCTGGTTTGATCCCACCACAAGCTTCCACTCCTACTCGGTGCTCTGGAACCAGCACCAGATCGTGTAAGCAAGACGAAAATCTCTTCTTTCTCTTCTCTCGAGCTCAAAGTTCCTTCCTTGGCACAGATTCCTGGTGGATGAAATCCCGATTCGCGTCTTCCGCAACAACGAGGCCAAAGGCGTCGCGTTTCCGTCCAAGCAATCCATGGGTGCTTTCTCGAGCATCTGGAACGGGGATCAGTGGGCTACTCGCGGAGGGGTCGTCAAGATCGACTGGAGCAAAGCTCCGTTCGTCGCGTCGTATCGAAACTTTGCGGTGGACGCTTGCGAGTCGGGTAAGGTTGAGGCGTGCTCGGCCATGGCCAGTTCCGCGTGGTGGAACGAGGAACGCTACCGCTCGCTCAACCGGAACCAGCGCCACAGGCTCAAGTGGGTCCAGAAAAACTACATGGTTTACGACTACTGCATCGACACCTCGCGCTATCCCACGCCTCCGGCCGAATGCAAGGATGCTTTCTAGGACTGGTGCATGGTGGCTTCCATTCTTGGACACGGCTGAAGCTCTGGGCTGTATCGAAATCGGGTGAGCTCCATTTCGTCCTCGGGTGGCAAGTTTACATTCCAAAGTTGCTTTGTACATTTTGTTATTTCATTTGTGAAGTTGATTCTGCTCTGAAGCTCAAACTTGATTTCAAAATTCAAAAGTTTCCATATTCTTTGTACATTTTCATGCATTTTGTTACTTTGTTATTGTGTTGAACCTGTTCTTGGGTGGCAAGTTCAAAATTCAAGAGTTTCTTTGTACATTTTCTTATTTCCTGAATTTCAAGCTGTTCTTTAGTGGGAACAAAAGTTTCTTTGTGCATTTTTTTATTTCCTAGGAAACTCAGAAACTTTGAACCTGTTGTTCAGTGGCAACTTTAAATTTTCAAAAGTTTCTTTGTACATTTTGTTATTCCAGGGTGAACTCTGAAGATGAACCTGTTCTTGAGTGGCAACTTCAACTTACAGAGTTGTAACAATGACATGATAACAAGAGTCAAATCTCATCTTTAAATCAAACATCGTACATTCTGTTGTTTTCTCGTGATTTCAAAAAAGTTCGAATCCGTCCTTGATGACAGCCAATCTTGAGTTCAAATGTGCGTGTCTGGAGCATTCCATCATCACAAACTTACGAATCTTTACCCCTTATTAAAAAGTTGGTAAATTTTGTTGAGCGTAAGCTTAGCATACAGTGTGAGAGTTGGAGTCCCATCACATAAGAACTATACCTATAACTTGATCACCCTCATTCTCCTATGCAAATCGCAGCGCTTCCTCCCATTTCTGGGAGTTCTCGTGCAGCCAACGCCATCCACCTTTGACACCACTCCGCATTTCAATCCATTCTCTCCTGTCACTTCCCCGTAGAGTTTCCCTGTCCCTGCTCTTTCGATCCTCACCTTGCAAACCTTCCTGGAAGAACTCGTCTTCCTCGCATCGTCTGGACGAACTCCATCTCCTTCTTTCTTGCGATGATCTTCGTGACCATCAATGGAGAGGCCAAACAGTCTCCTGATCACGTCCCGGAAGCTCCTGGCCTCCGATCGATCCTTGGGCTTTGACAGCTCCACCCTGACTCCAACTCTCCTCTCGAAAATCCTCGCGCAGCCCAGCCGTGTCGCAATGGAGCTCCTCGTCCCGCACACCACGTTGGATTGCATCTCAAGCTTGGTGAGAACGTCCAGCGATCGCCGAGCTCCATTGGCACCCTTGTTCCAAGCGTAGTCGAAAACATGGAGTAGCTTCTTCTCGGCTGCTAGCGCTGATTCCTTGCTTCCTGTCTAGAGCAAAAAAGAAGAAGAAAAAGATGAGCAAACTTGCGAGAGAAAAAAGTACCAAGAACTTACAGCAGACCATCGAAATGCCAGTGAGTATCCTCGAGCAAAGATCTCGGAGAACAATCGAGGTCCTTGCCGGAAGATCTGCGTGAGAACTCTCTTCTCAGGCAGCCATTTCTCCAATCCAGTCCAGCCTTCCAAGTGAGACCCTCCTTGCCCGTAAGACTGTAGCCTTTGTCTCACATTCTCGGCCTGTCCGAGGTACACGGCCACCACATCTCTCCTGTGTAGCCTCTTCTTCTTTTTCCTCTTGCGAGAACTCGAGCACGGCCGGACGATCCCCAGCTCGTAGATTCCAGGACGAACAGCGCTCTTGCTGGGGAGATTGTGGAGCCGGTACCTCGATCCGCTAGGGCTGTCCACTGAATCGCGCCAGTCCGAGTGCCCGATCAAGATCTAGAGGAACGGCGTTAGCGGAGACCAGGATCCAAGAAGTGGAAGAAATGCGCCAGGATTTGGTAAGTGAGGGAGAGATGTGGTACCTTCCAGCGCGTGAAGTAGCGATCGTGCTTCACTGCGAAGCATTCCTCGCGGCGCATCCGGCAGGGCGACGCCATGGATCGTCCTCTAGCAACGGACTAATTTTCACTTTGGCGCCCTAAGTTCCAGGATTCGAACCCCTGACTTTTCTCATCTCGGACTCCATGTCAGCCTCCAGCTCGGGCACTCCACCTCGGACTCCACCTCGGGCACTCCATCTCGGGCAATCTTTGTGTAGTATCTCAATTCTTTCCTTTGCTCAAACAAAACTGTGCATCACATCGTCTCCCCCGGAGGGAGCTCCGGATGCTTGGCAGGCATTCCGAGTATCCGTTCCATGTCGTAGCGAACTTCGATGTTCCGGATGCTGTATCCCACCACCATGAGCCAGTATAACAATCTCGCCAGTTCTTTCGCGCTCGTCTCGGTCGCAGTTCTCTGTGAGTGATCCATCGCACAGGAGATCTAAAGAGAGAAAAGCATATGGCTGCTACCTTTAGCATTGCAGCGTCCGAGATTCTTATCAAGCGTTGCACGAATGTGTTCATGGCTTCCACTGCGTCCTCCCCGGCGCTAGTTGTCAGCTCCTGCGAACTCAAAAACTTCTCATCCAAAACTTTAGGAATGAACGGAGGTTTTGAGTACCTGTAAGTTTTTGGGCTCCAGGTTTTTCAAGTAGTCGAGAAGCTCGTTCTGGCCAGACACCTTGCCTCGCTCTAGTTGCTGCTGAAGCTTTTCCACCTCCGACTCTAAGAACTCGATGTATTCCACGGCGTCCATAGCCACCGGGCCATCTTCTTTGTGCCACTTCAAGACGCTCCCCTGGACTTGCGACTTTTGTACCTTACTCTCGAATTCGGGACCAAACTGGAACGAACACAAAAATCATCTTTGGTATCAGACAAGACTTACGAATATCATTTCATCTTGCCTTCTCGTCTTTGGGGGCCGGAAGTGCCGCCTGTTCTAGACTTTGTTGCAACTCGATACGGTACTGCGCATTTCTAAACATATATCCTGTCATTAGGACGCTATACATGAGCTGAGCAAGATTCTCAGCCACCTAGAAAAGCACAAGTTTTTTAACCACGAAGAAGGACCAAAAAACTAAAACCATTACCGTAGTGATAGTTATCTCGAAAAACTGTGGAGGAAGCGTTCCAAGCATGTTCGTCACTGTCTTTCGCATAGCCTCGACCACCTAAGGTACAGAAAAAAGAGTTTAGTTGACAGAAAAATCACAAATCTTTACCTGTTGAGGAGCTTTTTGGATGAAGAGTTCCATGAACTCGGGCTGGACATTTTGCACATACTCCAGCAACATATCTCTCCTAGTCTTGGACTGGAAGAAGAAATCAAAAGCATTTCCTCCCAATCAGTATAGAATCCATCATATAAAAAACCCATAGAAAGAAGAACATTCTAGTCGAAACAAGAGAAAAATCCAGAGCTCCAAGCAAGAAAGAAGAACCTTCTAGTCGAAACAAGCAGGAGAAAAAAATTCTAATCGAAAATGCAGGCCTAAAATTTCTTACAAGAGATCGATTGCCAGCGGACGAAGCAGAGGAAGAAGTTAATTCATCGCCAGACGATGCCGATGAGGTAGCCGCGGCGCAGCTAGAATGCTTCCTCCCGCTCCGCCATAGCCCTATTGCAGAAAAAGCCCTGGACGAGCTCCACGCCTGCTTTGCCCGATTGTGATCCGGCCAAGACGCCAAGGAGGAAATGGCGCTTGCACTAGTCGAGGAAACGCATGGCTTGAGCCAGCACGCCGGTTGCAAGCAAGCCATACCCTAGCAATCGCCTCCGTAGCGCTGCTCGCTTGATCAATCCGCCATAGCGTCTGGAAATTAGGGCTCATAACTGGAGCCTGACGTGTCGGGGTTGCTACCGTCCGATGGGGAAATCGACGGCCCTGCAACCACCTCTAAGCTAGGGTTTAGGGTTTAACGCGGATCGCTTTTTGATTACTTTACTCCTTTTTTTTGTTCGTCCTGGAAGATTCTAGCGTAACGCAATAGAACAAGGATCTTGATCTCTTCTGGGCAAAATCTTGATTTTTGTCAAAGTGTCCTGTAATTTGCAGGAGCTGGATGGAATCAGGAAAAGCTATGGACGAGAGCTCAAGCCCACAAGTTAGTCTTCTTCCAAGGTTTCCTCTTTTTGTAAAGTGGATCTCCACACTGAGAGTTTGCTCTCTTTTCTTCTTCTCTCTTTTTTTTTTTCTCTTCGTTGCAGGGATGAATCTCAAGTGGGCGATCGCGATCGCCACAGTGGCTGCCGCTACATTCTTCGAGCTCCTTCGCAACTTCAATAGATTCTGGTATGAACCAAAGCTCAAGCCCGGGCAAGCTCCACTTCCTCCAGGCTCTCTCGGATGGCCAATCTTTGGAAACATGGCATCGTTCCTTCGGGCTTTCAAGTCCCACAATCCAGACTCTTTCATCACCAAGTATCTCCACAAGTTAAGCTCTCTCTCTCTCTTTTCTCATGAAAAACTCAAGCATTTTTCTTATGAAAAACTGAAGCTTTTTGCTTTGGATCTTCTCCTTCTCAAAGGTACGATCGAACAGGAGTCTACAAAGCATTTCTCTTTTGGCAGCCAACAGTGCTGGCGACTACTCCAGAGACATGCAAAGTGGTTCTTTCGAGGGATTCTTTGTTTGAGACTGGATGGCCGAGCAGCACAAGGAGACTTATCGGCACGCGATCTTTCGCTGGAGTTACCGGCGAGGAGCACTTGAAACTTCGCAGGCTCACGGAGCCAGCGCTGAGCAATCCCAAGGCTCTCGAGGATTACATCCCTCGCATGTCCAGCAACATAAAGAGCTGCCTGGAAGAATGGTCGTGTCAGGAAAGAACTCTCTTGCTCAGGGAGATGAGAAAGGTATGTTCTTGCTCAAATCGATTTTGAGTTGGTCTCTGAATGGGAATCTATATAGTACGCGTTTCGTACCATTCATGATATTCTTTTCAGCAAAGATTCGGGCCTGGACGTGGAAGAAGTTTCATCTCTTTACTATGAAGGGAACCAAGGAATACGTTCTCTACCGATCAACTTGCCAGGAACTTCGTACAATCGAGCTCTTAAGGTAAAAACTTTGCTTTTCCCAGGCTTGTCTCTCCAGCCTATGATAACAACCTTTTTTCTGTGCAAGGCTCGCAAGAAACTCGATGTACTGCTTCACCGAGTTCTCAACAAGAGAAGATTTTCGGAGAAACCTGAGAAAACAGACACACTTTCGCTGCTTATGGATGCCACTGACGAGAACGGGAAGCATTTGGACGACAAGCAAATTGTAGATTTGCTAGTGATGTATTTAAATGCGGGGCACGATTCGACTGCTCATCTCATACTGTGGCTACTGATTTTCCTACTCAAGCACGAAATTGTCTATGACAAAGTTAAGGTAGTTTGTTTCTTTTCTCCTCTCTTTGTTAAACACCGTTTTACTGCTGACATGCTGACAGGAAGAACAAGAGCTCATCGCGTCTCAAAAACCTCTTGGAGATTCGCTCTCTCTATCGGACGTGAAAAAGATGTCATATCTTTCAAGAGTAAAGTTGCGATTCATAGCTTTGTCTCATTTTCTTTTCCCTTTGCACCAGGTGATCAATGAAACCTTGCGAGTGGCTAACATATCTCCAATGGTTTTCAGAAGAGCTGTGACTGATGTCGAAGTTAATGGTGATTCTTTCCGGTTCTTAGTTTCTCTAGACTTATAAATCGTATACAGGCTTTACAATTCCTAAAGGCTGGTATGTGGAGCCTTGGTTGAGACAAGTTCATATGGATCCTGCCGTGCACTCCAATCCTCAAAACTTTGATCCGGATCGATGGGCTGTAAGTGTTGTCTTTGTTTTTGCGTTACTGTGACAAAACAAATCCCTGCAGAGAAATGAAGTTCGTCCATTCACGCACTTACCATTTGGACTTGGAAGTCGAACATGCCCAGGGAACGAACTCGCGAAGCTCGAAGCATGCATTATAGTCCACCATTTGGTGCTCGGCTACGAGTAAGCAAACTTTATTTGTACGTGTATCTTTACGTGTTTGGTCACTGTGTGCTTGTGCTATTTGCAGCGTGAAACCGCTGAATCCAGATTGCGAAGTAACTTTCCTGCCGCATCCAAGGCCCAAAGACTACTTTCCAGTTCAAGTTCGCAGACGTAGATAAATCGGTGATCACATCACGCAATCGAAGGACAGATGAAGACTCGAAGGACAGATGAAGATGTTTACTCTCGAGAAGCAATCGTTTAATGGAAGATAATGCAGAAAAATCTCTTTTTTATCAGCTTTTCTAACCTTTCTTTTGGATAAAAAGTACCTTTCCTGAGTGGAGAGCTGGCAGGAAATTCAAGGAAGCAAGCTTGCTGCGAAGAAAGCGTGGTAGCTTTGGTTATTTCTAGAAGACGAATGTAAGAAGCTCAAGAAATAGGTCCGTTTCTTAGAGTGTAAGTTGCCCTCTTTTGGAAGCTAAGCTATAGAGTAAAGGGTCTTTGTGTTTTCCCCATGTTAGGACACAAGGACACGAATGGCGCTCGCTTCCTCCATCTCTAAGGCAAGTCACACCGAAAAAACCAAGAATTTTCTATCTCATGGGCTGTGAAATTCACAGGTGCTCGAACGATTCAAGCGGAATCCACGCGCTGCGATCACCGACAGTGGTAAATCCAGGGAGAAGGCCAGGATATCGTTTCCTCGATTGGAATTCAGGGAGAGGGACGAGGCCAAGTTTGATCTGGTGGCACGGCTCGACTTGACGCTCAGAATCTCCATGCTGTCCAAGGTGAACTCCGAGATCCAGCGTCGCTCCTTCTCGGCTTTGCTGCTCTTCACGGCGGTGTGTCTCATCGGCCCTTCGGCGGCTTTGGCTATGGAGGTGGATGATATTCCAGAGTATGGCCCAGGGCTTCCAAAGAAGGATTTAGTCTTCCATGGGGGAGTTTTTCTCGCTAGAGTCCAGAGGCCAATGGCATTGTCAACCACGGCAACTTCACTGGCCAGTGAATCATCTCGCGGCGTGTTTATGGAAGAAAAACTCGACGTGGAAAACGAAGAAGAAGAACTCGAGGAGATTCTTGAGCTGAGTATGGTGGTGCCAAGATCCGAGCTCACAGCATTCGACGTGTTTATTAATCTCCCACAAGCGAGCGAGAGCTCGCCGATCACTCTCCCGGAGTTTGTTGGCTCGTTTGCGAGTGGCGAGATCGATAGGCCAGGGTATCGACGAGTGAAAGTTCGGTTTGGAATAGGTGACAAGATCAAGCTGCTCCATCTGGAGAAGGAAAGGAGTGTTCTTGTCGCAATTGTTCGTCATGGAGCTACCAAAGGCGTGGAAATCACGATTAAAGACATTGATATAGAGCTAGAATAACAACTATAAATCAGGAAAGACTCATCGTACTGTACTTTAATTATAATAAATCAATACATCCATTTCAAACAAGAGTTATTTTTGGTTTGCTTAAGCATGATTAGGATGGTAGTGAATATACCTATAATATGTCTGAATATTCTAAGATTTTTTACCATTTAACAGTTGTTATTCATTTAGATTAATCTTGTATTTATAATTTATAAACATGTTTATAATTTATAAACTTTCCTAAACACTTCTTAGTATATTATTTTCTATTCTACCATCTAATGGTTAATATGCAATAAGATTAATTTTGATTTATAAATTATAAACATTTTTTTATAATTATTGATCGATTGGATTATTAAACGAGACTACTATTAAGCAAACCAAGTGTTGTTGCATGCAACATGCAGCAAATTAATCTTGAAATAATTTAAAATAACTTGAAATAACTTGAAATTTTGGTACATGCCCAAACCAATTTTCAAGTTTCAATGAGTATGAGGATAAAGAGACTGTAAAGTACCCAGGTACATGCTTTTTACAGCCACTTTGCTAACACCTTGTCACCAGATCTAAAGCATCACCTCTCACAATCCCGGAGTTTTATAAATTGAAAAAATGAACACTATTAAATATGAAAAATTCTAGAGGCCTTTTGATTGTTTTTGTGGCTTGGATTTCAACTTGAACCTTATAATCCCCCAAAGTCTTCCAACTACTGCCTCCTCATGCCGTGGGGAGGACACGCCTCCAACCTTTTCTTGGGGCTAATATATACCTATTTTGAAATGTAGCATACTTCAGCATTTGTGGTTGCTATTTGCTCTTGGCAGAAGAAAAACAGGAGACTTTCTACATGCTCAACTCTAGCCAATTATGATGGTGAAGATGTTTGCAATCACAACCCTTTTTGTCTCCTACAGTCACCATAACAGAGAATTCTTTGCTAACTAAAAATCCAAAATGCTAGCTTGGAAATTGGATCACCAATCACCAGTCCCAACCTATGCTGTGTGCTGACACAGAGATCTCCCAAGAGCATTGCCACTGCATGTGAACCATGATTTACAAAACACAATAGTACATATTGTAGCTCAAGTTCCATTTCAATCATATTAAACACATGTTAATTTCTTACCTCAATCCAATCAATGCTAAGCCAATTTGTACCAATTTGCCATTGGCTAAACAAACATCCACAAATTTTTTATTGAAACCATGCATACTAAGACTACGCTGGGCACTTTTTTGGCAGGAAGAAGTTGTTGCAGATTTGCAAAAACTTGAAAAACAGCTACTATAGAGCTATACTCTTGACTCTATTGGGGGGGGGGGCGGGTGCAAGGGATGCCATCCTATGCTGGAACTTGCACTAGAATTGCTCAACCATGTGGTTGACATTGCATTGGAATTATTCAACCTTATGGTTAACACTGCACTAGAATAGCTCTATCCTATAGTGGACTTTGCATTGGAATTGCTACATCACTAACAAAGCTCTTTTATGGAATTGTCTCCTCTATTCTATTTACATTTTCTCTATTTAGTCATGGAGCAACCTCTTTTACACTCTCAGCAGGAACAACATTAGGGGTGGACATGAACTCAAGATCTGGTTTCTCTATTTTAAAAGACAATGTCTCCTCACTGGCTATAGTGTGGTGAAGAGAAGAAGCAAAAGAACATAAACAAGTAAGGTAAACGAATTTGAGTGGTTTTGGCTTATTATATAATGCTAGCATAAAGATTTCTAATCACTGCAATGATTGCAATGAGTGATAAATATCACTTGCAAACTACTAACTCAAAGGAACTCTACAGAAGGCTTGCTCCAGCTCTATCGCTCCACAGATGCCATAAGGCCATACTCCACATCCAACCAATTAGGCTTCATATTTGTCTTTTTTAATTCCCTGGTTAAACTCCACCATGGGAGTGTGGCTGGAATATATGACACTACTGAGGAAGCCACAAGGGCATATGACCGAGCAGCAGTGGGATTCAAGGGAATTCATGTACATCTAAACTTTCCCAAGGACCTCAAAGAGCAATTTAAAATTTTCTTAGGAGGGGACAAAATGAATATGCTGCAAGGGATATTTCCTTGTTCCAGGTATAGAGTCCCTTGGAATATCTTGCCTAGGTAGAGAGTTTCTATCTCTTTGATGTTTTGACTAATATGGTTTCCTTGCCTGTGTGTTGACTGAACATTTGATTTTCTTTGTTATGAGAAAAAAACAAATTCTAGACATCTGCTATGGTTACATGAAAAGTCAACACTTGTCACACACAACAGCACCTTAAACACATGTCAAATTCGCATCTTAGCACACTCTAGCTAATGAGCACACAAGTTGTGCCACCCTCTCATTGGCCTAGCAAACATTAGGATGTGATGAAAAGAAGGTTTACTTAATTAATCTTTTGGTATTTAACATAAATATATTGATAAAAAAGAAGTGTTTTAATCATAAACCATAAAATATATAGCTTAAAATATTTATTTATTCTTATTTAATATAAAAAATACCACAAAAAATAAAACTCAAAATAAACTAAGTGTTATAGTAAATTATTTATATATTTTAAGATGTTTTTTCCTTAAAATCAAATAAATAATAAGCCTTTAAATTTTTATTTTAAATATAAATTATGTCTATTAATTTCAGTTGACCAAAAAGGTTTATCAGGATAACTTGGAATATAAAACTAAATTACAATCATTTTGAAGGCTCAAAAATGTTAGAAATATACAATTAAGATTCTTTTTACAAAAGACGTTTCTTTTCCACTCTATATTATATAATGATAAAAAAAACTATTAATTTAACTCTGAAAATAGCATTTTAATTTGTTATTTATTTTAATTTTAATTTTTATAAATTATATTTTTGCCAGAATAAAGTACAAGATTACATCTTAAATTTAGTAGTAAAATATCCTTATTATTGGGAGATATTAAAAATTATCTTGGATTTTAGAAGGAAAAGCTTTAATTTTAAAGTATTCATAAAACACAAAAAACATTTTTATTTTCATTTAAATTATCAGTTTATGTAAAAACAAGCTGAGCGCTACACACCCGGGGCAAGAGGAGAAATCGATTGCTAACACTGAGTCGGCCCGATCCAGCTAACAGGGAGCGATCTAGAGCAAGAAACTATGAAATTTCGTTGTGATCGAAATGTGTGTACCACTTATAATTATACTTTTATAAATATTACAATCATCTATTGATTTTGGTTTATTAACTGATCCACTAAAATAATATTCAGGTTCTGATATACCATCTCGGTCATAATAAATTTTTAAATTTTTAAATGTAATCTTTATGGAACTTGCTGAAATTAATAAATTTTATGAAAATATTTTCAAAATAATCTTCCAAAATCTTTATATAAAGAATTTCCAAAAGTATAACCATTTTCTCCACTTGATGCATAATTAAGAGCATTTCTTGAATAACATGAAATTTTGGTTAAAACAATTCCACTAGTTAAAATTACTGATATACTATTAAATAAATTTAAAAGATAGTTATCATTTCAATCAATAGCATGTATTGATTCATCAATAGCATCAACAATTGTACTCATATCCACATTATTTATGCTATTTAGAAAATCAAATTCTGGATCATCACCATATGTTACTGTCAAAAATAATATTATTACATAGCTGATAATAATGTTTTTAGCCATATTTATTAATTAGAAAATGACTATAATATATTTAAGAGTTTAAATTTTATTTATAAAAGTATTTTTCTTGTTTTTTCAAATTCTTATTTGGATTTTGCTTATTTTAAATAAAATAAAGTTTTAAAAATTATAAAGTCCTGGTCTTAAGATAAAGGCTCCAATATTAGCACAACAACTCTCTTTTTCCATGAACAATTTTCATGCACTTTCTTTTCCCAGATTGTGATGCTGAATTCACCACGTCCCAGCTTGCACCCCAGCCTTGATCGAGCTTCCGGTGTGCTGCGTCTTGTATCAAAAGCTCCAAAAGGACCAAATATTTGCATGGCCTGACCTTGTGTTTTACAAAATCAATGTTTTACTCAACGCTCAGGCTGACTGCATTGTGGGAATTCTAGCGGCTTTCACGCGTCCTTGGAAAGCATTTGCCTTCAAATCAGAATCTGGACCGTGCAAAATAACAAATCAAGATTATATATTTTCAAGCTCCCTGATTTGGATTGAAAAATGCAACAGTCCATCCACACTGCCTTCCTTTCAAGCTGCTGAACCTATTAGTAGAACTAACGCCAATCAAAAGGTTACACTTATCGTCCCCGTGAAGGTCGCCAGAGATAAGCTTTGTTTGCCATGACTTGTCGACTCGTTTGTACTTTGCCCGCATTTTCACGTTGATCCTCATCGGAATTTGGCCGGAGTCTAGATCGCCCTTCAGTTTTGTGGCAAGATCAAGAGGAATGGTGAGGTTGAAAAGTTGGAGAGGCGCTTCAAAATGTGTGATGTTTCGAGGTGGCTGGACAAACGGAGATGCGTAGGCTCTTCCCAGCTCGTAGCCGCGATAGACAGCAGCGATTCGCAAGTGCCAGAAATGGACCCCCATTTTCTTGTTTGCATTGCGAGACCAGACCTTGAAAGTTAGAGATGCCGAGTCGATCCTGGATCCTTGTGAGCTTGAGTTGCTTGCGCTAAGATTCGAGAGGACTGCGTCCTCCAGGATGTGGTGGACTTTTGAGCGGTTTACGACTGCACTGACTGAGCTAAAGAAGATGATCACAAACAACATCGAGAAGAAGAGGCAGCAGCAGAAGCAGCAGCAGAAGCACTTGCATGACGACATTTTACCTACGATTATGAAGCTCAAGTGGAATCGAGGGAGGTTTCAGATCTCATATGGGATGGTTTAGAGTGTACGTTTTCAACGTTGAAATTTGTGTAGCGCATGATCTTCCTGGAAGTAGCTTGCACGACCATCACACGGTTTGAAAGATGATTTTGTCAAAGTACTTCATGGTATCATTTTAGTTCCACTGTTGGTTTCGAAAAGAAGAAGCAAAGCTTTACAAGATAGAAAGAAAGAAAGAAAGAAAAGTAGTGATAAATCAAACCAACTACTTTATAATACTTTGCTGGTTTTCTTATTCTTGATTGAGAGCTCTGAGAGACCTTTCAGTCTCTCACGCAGCTCTTGCTGCCGTCGTCCCAGGACCATCCAACATAGCACTTGACACAATCACGTCCACTCCAGTGCCACCCATTGTCATATTCGCATCTCACACATCTACTACCATTCCAGTGCCATCCACCGTCTTCGTCGCAATTCTGTGACACGCAAGTGTTTCCATTCCAATGCTGGCCACCGTCGCAGGAGCACACAGATCCTCTCCAGTGCCGGCCGCCATCGCAAGAATTATCATCATCAGCAGCAGCAACATTACATTCCATTGCGACATAAAACGCCACACACAAAACGCTTGCGACTACGAAACCAAGCTTGAGACCCATTGCTTCTAACTCCAACTGATTATACATTGTGCTTATATACTAGGGAATACTCTTGGGTAAGACCTTAGTGAGGCTCATCTCTTTGTTTATTGTGTTTACATGGTCGTGTAGTGCCCACCAAGAAGGATAAGATTGGAATTCACCAGGTCCAACGTTTATATTGTTAGCATCTATGTAAATCTTCCGGACAAAGAAGATTTCTCCAACTTACCAAGTCTAACGGACGTCAACTTGTTACAGTATTGCTTTTGCTGGCCACAGTAAAATCCATGCAACTGATTTTGACTAATATTCGATTTAGTGTAATACAAAACAGAGACAGTGTCAAAACTATGTATTTGGCTCTAATCCTTTTTCTTCTCTTTAAACAGTTGCATGAGCAGCGCAAAGAGCATGGACATGAGAATGTATCCCCATCTGGGGCCTTCGGAGGAATTTGAAGCTCCAGCGCCACAAGTGTCGAAGTGATTATAGTTTGATGTGGATGAAAGCTTTGGTAAGTTTGCTGTGTTGGTTTGAGACGAGGATCTTGGATGGATGATGATCACAGCAACAAAGATGATGAGAGGCAGCAGTATAGCCCAAACGGAGAATGTTGTCAAGCGATCTTTCAAGCCCGGGATGCCTTTGCCTTTGAAGAGAAACAGAATGGAAAGAAGTAGCAGTGGAACCAAAGGCGATGGAGGAGCTGTGGCGGCGATGGCCATTCTAAAAACTCCACAGTCAAATCATCAAAGCACAATAAAAGCAGTGGTGATTCTCATCACTTACCACTCGAAACTTTTGTAATCCCCCTTTTGAAACTCGAGAGATCATAAGATCCCAAATCACGAAGTTTTGTCATCCACTGTTCGCTGTCGCGTAATCTGACCACAGCACAGAAACTCTAGAGTTTTGCCTTTTCAAAGAAACGAAAAGAAAAACTTGACCCGCGAATTCTTCTAGCTTTTTTTTCTACTCAGCGTGAGCGACTTCGAACTGGCAAAGGTTCTCCAGCCACAATCGCCCAAGTGAATTTAAGACTAGATCTCATGAACAACGAATGCATAGAACGAATTGGAAGAGAAAGCACGCCATGAAGAACAAATGGAATTTGATTACAACAATATACCTGGCCTGGCTACAAAAATGTGGCAGTAGGAGTGTGGAAGTAGTGTCATTCCTCGTCCAAGAGAATGGGATTTATCAAGGGATTCATCTGTGCAATATACACAATCGCCCATCTGGAAAAAAGAAAAAAAAGAGTATCAGTTTGAGAGAGAGAGAGAGAGAGAGAGAGAGAGAGATCTTACAGCATCCAGCACGAGACCACAGCAGTGATCACCAAAGTTACATGTAGCCTGCCAATTTCCCGAGAAAACCTAAGATCCAGCGTTCGCATCTATAGATTTCTACTCACAAATTCATGGATGGCCCCTTGTTGTAGAAGAACGTGAATCCCAGGCAGCCCAGCAGCGCAGCGCCGAAGAAGAGGATCGTCGTTACCATAAATCCCATGGCGCGCACACAAACCCTAGATCTTTCCCGCCAAGCGTGAGCTACAAGATACTCAAATTTAGGGCTCTTACGCAAGGGCAGGGCATTGGCCGCGCTAGGCTGCCAATGCGGCGCTCGCTCAGCGTAATCCAGCTCTAGTGATCCAGTAGGCGCAGATTGAAGCATAGATCTAAGCGCATCGATGGCGGATTCTCGCGGCCGATTTGTTGTCAAGCCGCTGGCGGCGCAGTCGTTCTTGGCGGATATCGAGGTAACTCCGGGGAAGATTTACACTGTGGGGCGATCGAGCTGCTGCGATCTCGTGTTCAAGGATGGGAGGGTCAGTCGCCGGCATTGCCAGATTTTCGTGGATGCCGAAAATTCTCTCGTCTTGCACCATGGAGTCGAGAAAGGGGCAGATATTTGCCTGAGATCGTCCGTGGTCTACGTCAACAGTGAAAGGATTTCTCTCGGGAGCTCCAGGGTTCTTGTTCCAGGGGATAGAGTGTTCTTGGTAGCTCCGGTTAAGGATTCTATCCAGGATACAGGGTTTACAGTGGAGAATGCTGGCGAGAGTAGTGATGCTATAAGGAGCTCTTTGGAGGAACTAGAGATGAATGTCCAGCGGCGCCAGGTAAAATCCAAGGCTGATCATCTCGGGCCAAGTCTCAACTGTAAGGTGAAGAGGGTGAAAGCTTCGGTGGAGCAGCTGATTGATAAGAGCCGGCAGCTACGATCAGAGTGCTTTACCAGGAACTCTAGCCTGGAAAATCTAGCTTTCGTCGGGAAGGAAAGGGATCTCCAAGAAGTTGAACAGATTGGAGGCGACACAAAGGTGGCTGGTTGTGATTCTTTTCCAAAATCAAGTGGACTGTGCATGAATAAACTGGAGGATGTACAGCCCTCCAGAACAGACGTGTCAGTGGCAGATCTTCTGGCGCCATTGGAAGACATTCGGGAAATGTTTGTGGCATCGTTTACTACTGACATTATTTGGTGAGAATTTTTTTTTTTTTTTCTGTTCTTCTTTCTCTTTGTCTAATCTCCGCAAGTCGTTTTTTGCAGGTTTATCTCGTCCTTCGGGCTTCCAAAGACATTACCTGTGACTATAGCTTGTCACGACAGCGAACGAAGCTGGAGCACCGCCATAAGCGACCGCATGGAGCATCCATATTGTGAGTGGCCAAATTTGAAAGTAGTGTAAGTTTCTCGTATCTCATGTTCCAGGCGAAGTATCTACATGTTTCTATGCAGGTATCCGCCTTTCCCTGTTTTGCGACGAACAAATGATAAATCCAGGATGCGTGGTGTTGGCTGCCATCATCCCAAGTTTTTTCTCTTAAAGCGTTCAAAAGATATTCGAGTTATAGTGACGTCCTCCAATTTGAATTACAGACAGGTATTTCGTTTTCATATTCTCCTTTGGAGTTTGCTAACTCTTTTTTTTTTCACAGTGGCTGCAAGTCTCCAACACGGTTTGGTGGCAAGATTTTCCCCTTCGCAACACAAGAGACTATTCCTCTCTATTTTCGTCCAAGATTACCGAGGGCGGAGAAAGAAATGGAGATTTTGCAGCTTACTTGGCTGGCTTCATTTCCACTTTGGTGAAAGACGTTCCTAGCGAAGCTCATTGGGCAACCGACTTGGCTTGCTACAATTTTTCGAAGGCAACGGTGTCACTGGTTGCGTCAGTACCGGGATTCTGGGAGGAACTGTTGCCTTTCCCAGAGAGTATGAAGGTAAGCTTTTTATTTTGGTGTTTGTAAATCGTTCTGATTAAATTCCGAAGCAGGAGCTGGAGAAAAGTTACCTCGGCACCGTAGCAACAACAGTTGCGGGAATTAGCCATCAATTTTCCCCCAAATGCGATCCTAATGGACTGAGATTGCGAAAGCTCGCTGCTCTCTTGAACAGTTTGCCTCTTGATCCAGAAGGCATGGTGCACGTCCAACTCAAGCGAGCCAAAGACTTACCTGCTGATCCGAATGCAGTGGTGATTTCCGTGGTTCCACCAACTCAGCAGTTGCGCTTTCTCGAGCAAAGTATGTGTTAACTTCTGGTGTTCTGTTTTATGATTTACCGAATTCTGTGTGTGTGATACAGGCGATATTGTATCACAAGCAGAGGAGCTGCCGATTGGATTCTTGCCAAAACGTGCAGCTGCATGGGTTTCAACGCTGTGTGACGCTGGTTTGTGTAGCTGGAGGGCCATGCTATGGCCCAAGCAAGTGCTTGGTGTGGCAGCTGGCCAAAGCAAAAGCGTAGTACAGCTTGGACTTCATGTTTTTGAGGTAACCCGTGCTTTATATCGTACATTGTTGACAGTGTTTTTGTGTATCAGGGGTCTAAGTTCGGGGAGCTTCTTACGAAAGACCAAGAATCTGCAATGAGCAATCTCTTGCGCCATATTCAACGGAAATATGGCCTGTGGCGATTAACAGAAGTTCTTGCCGAGCACAAGTGGCCAGATTCCGCTGAAGTCGATTTTGTGTATTGTAAGTGCTGCTTAAAACTTATCACTAAAACTGATTGTCGAGGTCCTTGCAGGTTCCTCTTCCATTGGAACGTCCTTGAACTCGAACTTTCTGGCATCATTCTCCGATGCTGCAGGCCGCAAGGCATCACTAGACGATTCGTGTGAATCAGATCCGGAGGTAAGGTTTTGTTATTGTACGTGACTATCTTGCGATCTTTTCCTATTCAGTGGGGCCGCTGGACCGCGGAGCATGAGGCGGCCAATCCATCAATAGAAGTAGTTTTCCCGACCTTGGACCGGTTAAAAAGCGCGAAATGGGGCCCTTCTTCATACCGAGGAATTCTTTGCTTCCCAGAGGTACATAAATGTTTTTTGCCGAGCAAGCAAACATCACTTCTACCAACAACAGCGAACGTGGGAGAGAATAAAATCGACGAGCGCTGTCAACTTGCACGACGCAATTCCATGTCCACCTAGTCGAGAAGGAATCCCAATGCATGTAAAGGTACTATAAGTTCTAAGTTGCAAAGAATGCTCAGTCACACTATCTGTTCAACCTCGCAGGTAGCACAGAGACGATTTAAATCGCCCACATCAAGCCAAGCATTTGGCTGGATTTATACAGGCTCACACAACTTTAGCCCCGCCGCGTGGGGCAAATACGTCAAAAAGGCGGCGAGCAACGACGACGAATACCAGTCACCTTGCACTCGACTACACATTTGTAACTACGAGCTCGGGATAATATTCATAGATCCGCCACCAACATACCAGGACGATGGTGATTCCAACACAACGAAACAACAAAACCATGGTGGAATCGATAGTTTTACACTGCCGTTTCGAGTACCGGCACCAAAGTACAGCTCTTTAGACAGGCCTGCGACAGGCAGCGCAATCTTCCAACTTGTACAACAATTAGGGGAGGGGCAGCGATCCGTCCTAAACGAGGCTGGAGAGCACGAAGGCGTGTCACTGTCGGACGTGGAGATTGATACACAGGAGCCGGAAGAGGACGATGCATCCTCGAGCGCGTGCTTATAAGCCAGGTACTTAGTTCCCTAGTAGTTTGGAAAGTAGAATTGGTTCTAACAAGTTTCGCGACTACAGGCCACGAGGACGAGATTTCTTGGCGTGTTTCTAAGCCTAGCACTTTGGAATGTAGAAAAATTTCGAGACTACAGGCGACGAGGACGAGATCTCCCCCGGTGGAGCGCGTGCTTACAAGCAAGGTACTTCTCTAGCACTTTATAGTTGGTTCTAACTAGTTCACTTCTAACCACCTACACTGTTTGTATCAAAGACAGTCAGTCCATCGCTGCCACCTCGCCATCAGCCGTTGAGCTAATTTGCCACATCATCTCTTGGTTCTTGGCACTTTGATCTCGGGCTTTCTAGCGTCACAAGAGGTATGTGACGGGCAGCCCAGTAGCAGACCCCTTTTGATCGCCGCTGGCATTGTTTTCCTTTGCAAGATAGATGGGGAGAGAAATGGAGGAGCTTGGCTTGCCGGTCGAGGTCCGCGACTACCTCCAGTCGGTCTCCAACGCCGAGGTCGCCCTCTTCGTGGCGGACAAGCGCCCCGCCAGCGTCCGCGAGGCCCAAGACATGGTGGCCGAGCTCGGGGCGCCGCCGGTGAACAAGACTTTCATGATATCCTACGGCGACTCCAACGACTATGGCTTTTGGGCCCGCGGCACGGTCAACGGTCGCCCGGCGTCCTTCATGCCCAACTACGGCTCCGACGCCTTGGTCTCGGCCAGCGCGGTCAACCGCCTAGGGTTGACTACCACCCTGTGCCGCCCCTTCCGCGTTGACGGGTCGCCCGTGGTCCACAACCGCAAGGTGAGCGACCTAGTGTTCGAGCTGGATGGCGGGTACAAAGGCTGCATGGATTTCTACGTAGGGGATGGCGGGCGCAACGATTTCGTGTTTGGCAACCGCGATATGACCAAGTTGGGTACCGGGTGCTCGGTTTACTACGGGCGCATGCTGGTGGAGCTCAGGGGTGGAGACGGGACTTTTACCTCGCCCCTCTACGAGGGCCGTCCTGGGTTCCACTAGGTGGGGAGCGATCTTCATTCTCACAAGCTCATTTTCATTTTCAGCAATGTGCTACTAGGTAGGAACCAAGTGGTAAGCATTCACTCACAGAACTCCTGTTCTTATTCTCGGTTCATTTTTAAAGAAAAACCCATCGTTTTCATTCTCACCAATGTGACTCTTTCTTTTCTTTTTGTTTTGTGCTGAAAATCGACATTTTCCAACCCAAGACTTAGCCTTGTTTTCTTTATACAATTCACTATGACTTTGCCCAATGCCAGGACCCTTCGGAGCACGCTGAAAAGTACAAACAACGCGTTCTAGGAGTGAAGCTCGTATAGTTTGTTCATGAGCGATTTTTGCGTTAACAGCGATCTTATCAAAAGATGTCTTTCGATCCCACGTCCGTGTTGCCAGCGGTCATTGCCGTGCCTATCAACGAAGCTTTCAAGCTCCTCATATCCGGGGCCTCCAAGTACTGGAATTTCCCAAGCGCGTCCAAGGCTGCAATTAACGAGTACACGCCTATCTACAATCTTGCACTAATGCGTATTGCGGCCGTACAAGATCATGCTTCGGATGAATATCAAACACTGACTCGTTTTTGCGATTGTTTCAATGAAATGGAGCAGCATATCAAGAACGTCCACTCAGCTCATCCCAGGTAACATCCTCATCTGGAAAAATTCTGGAACACTAAACATCACTCTACTGCAGATACATCGGGGAGATTTTCCGCTTCTTCGGCGCCAGATCTAAACTCGACAGCTTGATGCCTATCTTAAACGCCCAGCAAGTTCTCGAGCGGCCTTTGGCTCTAGTCCACTCTCAGCAAATCCAGGCTTTGGACTCTCGGCCGCCCCATGAGTTTCAGTACCGCTGCCAGCCCCCAAGTCTTCCTCCAGGCATAAACTACTTGATTGTTGGAAGAGACGAGGAGTTTTCCAGGTTCAAGTCACTGCTTCTGGACGAGGGAGGGCCAGAAAGGATTGGCTTGTTTGGCCCGAGCGGCGTTGGGAAGACGTTCCTGGTGACCCATCTGTGTCGCGACGGGGAGATCGCCAGTCATTTTGATGGCATCATCTGGATCAGTTTTGATTACAGAGAGCGCTTCGATACGTTGGTCACTATGCAAGCAGACATACTTTCTCGGTTGACAGGGAACGATCGGAGGGTAGCATCGGTTGCAAATGGAAGCAGGGAGATTTTCAACTTTATAACCAGGAGCAGCCTCAAGAGATACATGCTTGTTTTGGACAATGTATGGAAAAAGAACTGGCTGCATCTTTTAGATCAGGAAGGTGACATGGGGAGGGGGAACAAGGTGGTGGCCATCGCCAGCAATGCCAAGCTATTTCCAGAGGATAGGTGGACTAGTGTCAAGTTGGATCCTTTGTCTTTTGATGATGGCTACAAACTCATTTGCATGCAAGCGTTTGGAGGAGAAGACCAGGTCCCAGACACCCTTGATAGAGATTATGTGGAGAAGATGGTTTGGCTGTGCAGTGGAGTTCCCAAGGCTCTTCAGGTGATGGGCAGATATATGAGAAGAAACAAGGATCGTCCTTGGTTTTATTGGCAGCATGTTCTTGACAATATCAACAGGTGGGAACTGGATGAATGGAAGGGCATATTTGAAATGGTGAAACTGAGTTTTATGGAGCTGGACGAAGATGCGCAGCTGCTCTTTTTTTCCCTCGCCCTGTTAAGAGATCCCTGGGATGAATCGAGCTTATTTCACCTGTGGCGAGCAATGAGGTGCTCAGAAGACGATAACCTTTGTTTTGAGTTGCATAAATTCAACGATGCCATCTGCAGGCTAGAAGATGCATCGTTTGGGCAGCGGCAGTGGGACGATCAAATCGTTGTCGACGATCTTATGATGAGTTTTGCTGACTACATCATAGACAACGAGCCATTATTTTTTACCACTTTAAAGATTTGCAGAGACACTCAAGGATATCTAGTTGTAAGTCAACCCAATGCTGAACAGATTGTGCTTGTCAATAAGATTACTTCCCAGCCTCTCATTGAAGCTCCATCGCTTAGGTTCCTGCGTTGTCATGTAGCAACTTTCACGGAATCTTTTCTGGGGAAACTTGTGGAGCTCAGGTACTTACACTTGGAGTCATGGTGTAGTGGCTTGTGGAATGCTCTTCGGAAGCTTTCTAAGCTAGAGGCACTCAGAATAGTACTACGGGGCAGAGAAGCGGATGCCGTTATTGATCTCAGCTTTCTGCATGGGATGCATAACCTGAGCGAATTATACATTTACTATTACAAACTTCCAGTGGTAAACTTTGAGTTTGTGAGGAAATTAAGAAAGCTGAAGGTTTTACGACTTGAAGATAAACATGTGAATGTCAGATACGACGGGAAACTCAGGTGTCCTAAAGAAGATCTTATTCTCTCCAAAAACGCACTGGAATTATTCAAAACTTTCAGTGGGTCTAAGATGCTAACAATGCTACATCTTGGAGCTATTATTCTTACAGAGCTGCCGTGCCATATCAACTTTCCACGTCTCACTAGCTTGCAAATTATGGTTGCGTCAAGATCCCTACCACCCAGCTTTGAAGAGCTTCAGAACTTGGAGAGCCTGGAATTAGACGGTTGTGGAGTGCTGGAAGAAGTGCCACGGTTGGGCAGGCTTTGCAACCTCCGGCAGCTTCAAATTTCGGGCTGTCCTACAATGGAACGCATTCCTGACTCTGCTCTTCAAGATGGTTTAGTGTCCTTCCCACGGCTTGAGCGCCTCAGCATTTCAGACTGTCCAAAGCTGGCTCACCTTCCTCACGTACAATCCACGAGACCGCTTGTTGTCCACCTGGAGGCACTACCAGCTTTAAGACAAATCGACGAGCAGTTATTCATTGATCCTCTTATTATTGATAACTGTGGGTTGATCCAAGAGGTTAATGTTGGAAAAAGCTTGCGCCGAGATCTTCCTATCTCCGTGTGTGAGAGCATAGACGACATTCCAGTGATAGGCAACCTTACACTAGGGGAACGGATACCCCCCATCTTCAATTTGATTGAATTCTCTACCTCGATGATGCTGCACATTATGGAGTGTGAGAAGCTGCTGCTACAAAAGCTTCCCAAAGCTCTTCCTATGCTTCGTAAGCTCTCATTGGACAAGGTGACATCTTTGGTGGAGATTAATGACATGTTCTTGCCAAGACTGGAACGACTGACGATCTTAGATTGTGAGATGCTGCACAACATTTCAGCTAGATTGCCATCACTCAAAGAGCTTGTGCTGCAGAACTTACCATCTTTGTCAAGAATTAATATGCAATCTGATCCAGAGGCAGTTTCAGATCCGGACAAGCTGTACAGCGTTCCAGCTCTTCCTTCTACAGTCATGAGGATTGAACTAGTGGCATTACTATCTTTGGTGGAGATTGGCGGCATTATGCCGTCCAAAAATCTCGAAATGCTCATAGTATCGGATTGTGAGAAGCTGCGCAGCCTCCCAGCTCAATCTCTCAATGCCACCACGGCAGATCATGCAAAAGGCTATCGGCTTGTCTTAAAGAACTTGCCATCTCTAGTCGAGATTGGACAAGGTTACAGCATGTCAAGGGTGAGTATCTTGCACTGCGAGAAGTTGCACAGGGTTCCCTCCATTTCTGGGATGACGGAACTTCGACTGAAGAGTTTGCCATTGCTGGTCGATATCGAGGAAAGCTGTGCGGTAAAATTGTACATTTCGGACTGTGAGCAGCTGCAAAGAGTTCCTCCCATGCACGGACTTGAACGCCTTTCGCTGAAGAATCTACCATCCTTGATCCAGATTGATAGAGGTTCTCTATCCACAATCACACACTTGAAGATCTCGGGCTGTGAAAAACTAGACGAGGCAGAACAGATTGCACAAGAGTGGGAAGAAAGTGACGATGATGAAGCAAGCTGTCTGACAAGGAATTTTTGATATCTAAGGAGATAAAGAACAATCCATTTTGATTGCAATACAGGTTCATAAACTACAAAATCAATCGAAAACAATCAGAGCCGAGAAAATCAAGAAACTCTGACCAGCTCTCCGCAGATTTCTAAACGCTGTCCTTAAAGGAAAATCCAATTATTTGCCGAAGTTTTGTAATCGCCACTTCCGCACAACCGGCCTCACATCCTCGACCTTCGCAAGGCCGAGCAAAAACGGGACGAGGTCCAGCAGCTCGCGATCACCGGGGTTGTCCCAGAAGCTCGAAACGGGCACCCAGTTATCCAGGTTCCACACACACTTAGACTCGGAGTCGTCCACAATCACCACCCTCTCCATCCCCCGCCCCAGCATCGACAAATCCTTGACGTGCCCAACTTCGCTGCTCCAGCTGCAATGCTCGGTATACAATCTGTGCGCAAACAATCTTCCCTCGGGGTCGAGCTCGTCCAGGATCGGATCCGCGATGCGCCGGTCGCACGACGTGAAGACGACGATCTCGTAGACACGGGCCATTTGGCGGAGGAAATCGTCGACAAAGGGGCGCTTGAGAGTGAGAAGTGTGCCATCGGATCCACGGACTTTGGAAACGAAGTCGTACCTCTGGTCGGGGCTTGTGACGCTCGAGACGAGCGTGTGATTCATGTCGAGAACTAGGGTTGGCTTGCCTTCGTGCTCGGGGCGCTGATCGGGTGGGATGAGAGGACGCCATGGCCGCGGCTCGGAAGCTCTCGCCAATACCATTCTCTCTTCTTCTCCAAAACCCTGAAAAACCCTTTGTAATTGTAAGACCTTTAATAGTGGGGGTTTTTAGGGTTTATGGCGATTCGCTTCTCTGGCTCGTCCTCGGAGGTGCTGCGCGTCTTCAACCGGGCGGTGGATTTGCTGGCGAGCAGCGCGCCGGAAAGCGACCAGGAGCTGCTGGAGATGGTGAGGAAGGCCAAGAAGGAGCAGGAGAGCAACATCTTCCATCCGCCCAAGAAATTGCGCACTGGTAAGGCATTTGATCGAGGGATTGATTGATCGACGTCCTTCTATGGCAGCGCGCGCGGCTGGAGATAGCGATTCCACTGCTCCTGCTGCTACTGCTACTGCTGCGGCGTCCAAATTGGGAGCATCGTCTCGCCCATCTGACCAGCAACAGGTAGAATTCTACTCCCTCTCTCTCACACTCACAAATTTCTTGGATCCAGGCCTCTAACCAGCCGCCAAAGCCGAGTGGATTGGTGCGATTGGGCTCCAACGCCGGCGTCGCAAGGGGGCGCGTCGAGAAACCCAAGCGCAAGCCAGGGCGGTAATGCCCAAGAGCCCTAAATCTGCGAATATGCTGGATGATGCTTATTTAAAAAGCTCACAGAATATTCTTGTAACGGCACTCGAATATTACGTTAGAATGTTAGGGTTTATGGCCGATGGCGGACGATATTTTGGAATTCGTGCGCCATCGCGTCTTCCCCGAGCGCCTGCACGCCATCGATGCGTCCATGAAGCTGCCATTCGCTCCCTCGCTTCTACTTGCAGCGTGCGATGATCCAGAGCAGCGGCATTGTGTGCTGGGGAATTTGGAAGATCACAGGTGCGTTTCGCGAGCGCTCGAGTATGCGCGGCTGGATTACGGGGAGATCTCGTGTAATATCGGTGCCGAAGCGGAGAATGCCGCGCCTATGGACGAAGATGGATTGCTCGATGGCGGGGAAAGTCCGGACGAATGCCTGGCGTTTGAGCAGGCTACTGAGGTAATCTTCTAAGTTTTAAAGGATGTCTTCCTTCTTTTTGATGGATCGTCTCCTTTTTTATAGAAAGGGCGCGTTGAGCTTGTTATAACATCCTTGCTAGGAAGAGCTTCAAAAGCAACCTCGAATTCCAGCATGGGCAGTATTTGGAATAACACGGCATATCTATCCGAGCTAAGGTTGCTTCTTCCAATCGCTGTTTCACGTTGTCCAGGAATTTTCACTCCAGGTTGAATTCTTTTCTTCTTCTCTCTCTCAAGTCTTACATTCAATGTTTTTTTTTTCTGCAGAGCTACTCGTCAAAAGCTTGCTGACTGCTGCCTGTGGCATAGAGCTTCTTGTCACAACGCTCGCAAACAATCCATCCCTGGTCGAGCGAGCTCCAACACTCCTGGTGGACCTCGTGAAACGGGAGTTAGATCAAGAGTCAGCCCGTGAAAAGTCGCCTGCTGAGCCTCGTTTTAAGCCGTCACGCGAGATGGAAGCCGCCGTGTGGACGCTGTTCAAGCTTTGTCAGGTCTCTCGTTCGTTCGCCTCGACTTGCAGAGACGCGATGGTGGAGGCAATGGTTCTCGAGGAGCTGGCATTACTGGTGACTCTGGAGGTTTTACACGACGAGTTCGAGTTCCTATCAGAAGTTCTGTTCAAGAGCTTTACACTTGGTGGAACGGTACATAGCTTATTGCCATGGTTGGCGCAGTATCTATCGTCGAGAGAGAAAAGTTTGCTGCCACTTCCGCGTATGACCGACAAGGAGGGTCTCTCGACGCCATCCGAAAGATTTGTTAACAAGGAATGGGTGACTTGCGAGCTCAGGAAGGCCTTGCTGAGGCATGCGAGGAGGATAAAACAGAAAAAAGGATGGTGTCCTGAGCTATATGCACACTTGAAGATATATTGTGTCTTGATTCGAGTTGGAGACATCTCGCCATCGTTTGAAGAGGTACTCAAGTTTTCTTTCTTGTTTTGGTTCTGGCTTAATCTTTCGGCATGGCTGCAGAGTGATTTCTGGTTGAAAACAATTGCGCAAGACAAAACAAAGCCACCCTGTTGTTCGCAACGTATTCTCGAACTTGGAGTTGCATATTTATGTTTGGTACCAGGTCTAGCTGGAAGCCCAACGAGACTGCTGTACCATGGATGTGTGTCGTACTTGCTCTCACCCGTGAAGCAAGACAGCGGTTTTTCATCGACTGTGGAGCTTGCCATATGGTTGTCGGTGCAGCTATTTCTACGAAACTTGAACAACATAGCCCAGGTAAATCCAGTACGCGCGTCTTTTCTATTCTATGCTCTTACTGTGTGGCAGTTTGTTAGGGAGTCACTTGGAATCCACGTGACAGTGCACCATGGTTTGATGCATGATTTTGCGTCGGCTGCTGGAATAACGTCCGACCCGTCGCTGATTGCAAATGCCGTTGCTGCACTTCGGCCTCAAGGTGCTCTTGCTGGGAACGTGTAATCAAATCACCATTTACCTTTCTCATTGACTGACTTTTGATTCTTGCAGGAAACAACAGAGTCGTGCACTAATGTGTCTCACGCAACTACTTCACGCGGGTACGTTCAGTCGGTGCTTCACGGACATCCTAGGTGCAGTAATACACAGTATTTCAAGAGCACGCGAGCCTGTTTGTCGTGTAAGTTGGCCTCTGGAGTCTTTATTTTTCTTTTCTTTTTTGTCTTACAAGCTTTGCGTCGATTCTAGGAGGTAGTGCACTTGATCCAATCTTATATGGATTTACCGGTTCAACAAGGAAATGCCAAAGGCCCTATATTCAAAGCGGTCGAGCTGGAGACGTTCTTATTGGATGCCATATCTCCTGGCAGCTTGTCTTTTTATAACAACTGTTCGGATGATGGTGAGATTCTTTTCCAGATTATTCATGTCATTAGCTCGCTCTCTTGCAAATAGGTCTGCGGGAAGCTGTCGATCAGGCGCCGGCAGTTCTCGCGACATACTTCATTCTCTGCAGAGAACACCTCCTCAGAAGTTTGGGTGTTGACGACGATGTAAAGTGGTGGCCGGATTTGGTCTCAGGTACACCTTGGAGGCTGGTGCTCTCGTACATGGAGAAGTTCTCGTCGCAATACGAAAATCTTCTTCCTCAGGTAAGAAATCACCAAGTCAAATTCATGCTAGAAGCCTTTAACGTTTGTATCTGCTGCTCCTAGTGGCTCGCTCTCGCAACTGCACTCTTCCCTGAAAAGTTCATCGTACTCAACCATCTTGACCAAATGGAAGCAACGGACAGACTTATTGATACGGTAGGCGTCGACGTCGCAATGACCGACGAACATGCGGCAGACAGGGACTCTTTATCAGTGGACGCAATTCAATCGGCAAGAAAGAAGGCTCCAAGCGAACCACAACTTATTCTCCGTGTTCTGGACGGAATGCGTCGGCGAGCTTCTAGCTATGACTGGAAGTTGACAGACGTGGTTGGAAAGCCCAGCTACTGGACGCTAGAGAGCACTCTTATCAAGGAATTGCTGCCGTTTTTATTGGACCCAACGTGCCCGCATGACGTACAGGCAAAGTTTTGTAGCTGGTGGTACGCTTTGCCAGATGCTGCGAAGGAGCCTCTGATCATAGTCTTCTTCAAAGCGATTAAGGTCTCTGGCTCGGCCTATACTGGTCTCTTGAAGGAAGACACGCTACTGAGCTACAGAACTTTGGTCCGGGATCCCTTGCTTTTCTTATCGTGCGACCCGAGGCTTTTTCGTACGCCGATGCTAGCGTTTTACTTGGACACGCTAATGGAGATCCTGATAGTGAACAGGAGGCTGTGCGAGGCATCGATATTGGAGTCTGGGAAAGATGGCCTGAGGCGTGAAGAAATCGCCACGGCACTCGTTTCTCAATACAGGTATAGTTTATAGTTTTCAATTTTCTTTCTCGAGAGAGTAATTTTGTGTGCATGCAGCGCTGTCTGCCAGATTCTACTGGAGCGTTGTGATTTAAGCCAGGGGAAAGAGTCTTTGTCGATGGCGATGAACAAGCTTGTTTGTAAGACGGTGTCATCACTTCTTACAGTGAACTCTCTACTTCTGAAGCTGATACATTTCCAGGCAAGTTTTTCCTTATCCCGTTTCATTCTACAATGCGCATTTCGAAATGTTTTGCAGGGATATGATTCAACGCGTATACCGGTGATGCTAGAGCATGTCCCTGCAATGGTCCACTGCCTTGATTTTCTAGACGAGTTATTACAACAGCAGCAGCAACACAAACAAGTTTTTGCCATCCTTCTCGCCTCGCACGTCACTCGCTGCTATCCCGAAGCCAATCTAAGCTTCCAAGTGGCAGAGAGGGTAGGCAATTATCCACACATTGTTTTCATTGATACAAGCAATCTGTGTTGTGTGCCTCAGGTAGTCTCTCATGTTACATACATCCTGTCCAAGGTCGCTGGCAGCAGCGAGTTTTTAGCGCAGATTTTGCAGCCCGTCGCAGAGATTGCCACCACCTTCCCTGTGCTCGCTCCAAAAGTGGTGGCCATCTTACAGTCGTGTAGTCGAGCTGGAGCTTCGTTGAAGGCAGGAGGCCCTCCTCGAGACGCCAAGCTCGAGGCGGCCGCAGTGGGAGCTCTCGGCCTTGTGGTGGGAACTTGACCAAGCGAAAAGAAAGAGGTAAAGCGACTGGAATCGCAAAGCAAAGCTCCAGAGACAAGGATGCATTTGTTAAGAGGAGGAGGCAGCTCTTTCTAAATGCCTGATTATGTGTAAGCAAGACAGCTCCAAGATGGAAAGTGTGGCTTCTTCTGTCTTTCTTTAACTCCAAAGTAGGTCACAATTCAACACCAAAGATGCGCTGCAAATGAACAAATACAGGAAAAGAGTGGATCAGTGGCCATCCGACAACTTGTGCAATGAAGGGCTGTAGGGCAAGGGCAAGGGAGTGTCAGGTGGTCATCTCTTCCTCCAATCGATCCTTTGTGAGGATCTTACAACGGTTCATCTATTCCACATAGCCAGCAATATAAGATGACACTTACAGCCACATCTGGCATAAGAAACTATTCTTTTTAATAAGTAAAGAAAGATAATTTGTCTTGTAAAGGGCTTTAAGAATTTTGTGCTGGCCAGTAGCTTGTTGTAGACGTACTATGGAATTTGTGGCAGATAATCCATTAAAATAAGGGATGACATAAACTATAAGAATATTTTAAGAATATTCCATGGTCTGTGCAGTAATGTGTTCATTGGAGCAGCACATTCTTTTAGGATGACAAATAAGTGGGATATAGATCTTGACGAGGAGTATGGCATTAGTGATGATTGCTATGACAAGGAGGAAGAATCTCTTGATACTATTGTTGTGTGGCAAAGATGCTAAATATCTAAGGTTTAAAGTAATATTAAAGAGGTTAAAGATTCTATCAATCTTATTAAAAACTTCTTACTTCACAATCAATCTTGTGTCTGTGATTATTATTGGTACATTAAACATGCCAAGGATTATGGTATTATAGAATGGAAGTCATCACTAAATGTTTGTGATAGTTAGGAGGCCAATTCTTGGTTGGAATTATGGAAAAGTTATTGGTCTCATAACCTTTGTAAGGATAAAGTGAAGATTAAGTTAATTCTAAATTGACTTCTTGGAGTGATTTGATTAAAATTTTCTATACTTTGTTTATTAAAAAGTTTGAAGAGGTTGATCTCATGAACCAACTTCTAGAAATCAAGCAAGGGATTTTGTCTTTAGATGTATATGCACACAATTTTTGCTTTAGTCTTATAAGCACTTATAATGAGCTGTTAAAAGTGCAATGTTTCATCAAAGATTTGAGCTTAATGGATGTGTAGCAAAAGGTAAAAAAGATTTTCTAGCAATGTTAACTAATGCTATCACTAAGGCTTAAATATTTTTGCCCAAACTATCAATCAACTTAGTCAACTTTGGTCAATAGGATGATTTATAGGGTAGTTAATATGATGACCAACCCAATGGTTCATATTTAGGGAAGAAACAACTATTGTTCCATCATAACTCAAAAAAAAAAGATGGTAATGAGGTTAAAAGAAATCATTTATATTAGCAAGAGAAAGATAAGGTAGAGGGCAATTGTTTTCATTATCACAAAGCTAGACATCATAGCAAGGATTGTCTTCTTATGAAAGGATCAAAGAATATTAAGGTGAGTATGGTGGAATTTATTAAGGATACAACTCAGGCATCTATTGTGGTGGCTCTTTCACACATTATGGCAAAAGTTCAAAAATTTAAGTCTTGAGTGTATATTAATTTTGTAGAGCTCAATGGTTTTATGCACAATCAACTTGTGAAGGCCAAAAAGGACATTCAGGGTAGTGTTGTTAGTATTCTTTTTTATCTAGGTGCTACACACAACTTTTTGAGCTTTAAAGTGGTGAAGTAACTTGGTTTGCTTATAGAAAAGAGTTTGATAATCTATGAGGTGGTTATGGTAGATGGATTTAGCACTTATGTTTACTGTGAATAGCCTCCGAGTGTTCTTTTGATGGTTTAAGGGATTCTTGACCATCCTTCACTCTAGGTTATGGATCTTGGTCACACAGATGTTATTTTTGGGAAGGAATAGTGATAGGAAGCCAAGGATCAATTGAGAATTTAATGTTTTGCATATCGAAATTAGTGGCATGTGAAAGAGATTGTCATAACAGACAATAATGATACTTCATTGATTAATACTTTGGAGTTGGTGATATGCACACATGAGATCTAATTCTTTTGTGGTTTGTTTCTTTCTAATATACTCATATTTAATTTGGCATATGTTCGTGGGCATGGGGCTCAGATGGATTGCATTCAAGAGGAGTTCTAGACGTATTTCCAGATGAATTGCCTGATGGTTTGCCTCCCAAACATAGAATTCAACATGAGATTAATTTGGTTCTTGGAGCTACTCCTTATTAACAACAACTGACTCACACTAGTCTTGCTGAAGATGAGGAGATTAATAGGCAACTTGTTGAGTACCTTTGGAAGGGGTGGTTATAGATAAAGAAGTCTCCTTAAGTTGCTTTAGTGGTGATGGTTAAGAAGAAAGATGATATATGATATCTCTATGTGAACTATAAGGGATTGAATGATAAGACAATGAAGAATATGTTCCCAATCCTTATATTAATGATTTTCTTGATTGTCTTTATGATGCTTGATGTTTTTCAAAGATTGATTTGAGGCAAGGGTATCATTAGATTTGTGTCAAGCCAGAGGATGTTCCAAAAATTACATTTTAGATGACAAGGTCACTATGAGTTTTTAGTGATGTCATTTAGTTTGATGGATGCTTCTACAACTTTTCAGAAATTAATGAATCAAATTCTACAACCTTACTTGGGAAAGTTTGCAATTGATAATTTTGATGATATCCTGGTGTTTAGTTCTTTAGTGGAGGAATATGAGATGCATGTACAAAGTGTTTTGCAACATTTGAGGGATAATAAGCTCTACTTTAAGTTATTTAAGTATGAGTTGTTTTTGGAGAAGATTGAATATCTCATACATTTGATTTTAGTATATGGAGTGAAAGTTAATCCCACAAAGATCCAAATTGTGGTTGATTGGCCTATATCTTCAATAGTGCATGATCTCCGTTGAGTAGATATGTGATGTGATGTGTGACTAAGAAGTTGCAAGATGCAATATGATGTTATTTGGCATGTGTATAGCTATATTTGGTGCTAAGTTCATAATGCTATCTCTCATATTGCAAAAGGATAGTTGGAGTCAATTTTAGTTTCCCATTTTTTTGAGTTCATGACATTTGATTTGATAGGGCATTTTCCACAATTGATTGTTGGTAATGAGTATGTCATTATTGCTTCTAATTATTTGACTTGCTATATAGATGTTAGTGCTTATTTGTAACTATTATTAGATACTTTTTTATCAATCGAGTGGTATTCTAGCATTCTTGTCCAAAATGGATTCTCTCAGATAATGGTCCCACATTTATGGCTAAGGTATTTTACATTTTAACATCTCAACTAGGGATACACAGCAATGTCACAAGTGCTTATCATTTATAGATAAATAGTTTGGTGGAACAATTCATTCAAACCTTCAAAGGAATAATTGTAAAGTAAGTGAACTTTTAGTATTCAAATTGGGATGGTTATTTGCTGTATCTTCAATATGCATATGTCACAAGGATATAAAATTCTGTTGGTGCTTCACTATATAAACTTCTATATAGTCATGATCTAGTACTGCCAATGGAGTTGAGTTTACTGTAAGCGATTAATTTTTCCATTATACTTTAGTCACTTAACCACACCTCTGACCACTTCGAAGAGTCTCACTCACCACCTCCATAAGTCCTACTTTGGACTTGGGCTTGCTAACCCCGAGAATGGCATCTCCGCCACTCAACCTTTGCACTTGGTCCAAGTGCTCCACGTGTCCGATCCCATGACTGACACCCCAAGGCACCACCAACACATCAGCCCGTTACACTAAGGCCATGCCCATTCACCTTGGTCACACTGGTGGTCTAACACCACCTACACCACAGTCCCGTCTCTCAAAGACTGGGCCATCCGTCCATGAGGGATCATCCCCGATCCACTCCTTAGCATCCTTAGGATGTCCATAGACATGGGGATTAGCCTTCCCCAATATCCGCTTTTCGGTCCCTACCAAGTCCCTTTCTGGCCATGGCCGTATTTGCCAACACTGCCACTGGATCAAGGCCCGCAGGCCCGACCTCTAAGTCCCTCTATCCTTTGGGACTTCCTCACCATGTGACCGTATCCTAGGTCACTACACTAGAGGACTGCTCCTCTTCCCTTTCACCGTTTGGGACTTTGGGGACAGCATTTCGGAACACCGTGGCCTTACGCAAGCCTCATGGGTACTCTCCCCGCCTTTCGCCTTTAGGTGCTCTAGCCATGGGCTTAGAGCGAGGTTCCGTTGAGCCATGACAGGTATCCAAGTAGGTAGTGCCACTCACACTTGGACTGGGAGCATCGGCCAGTCGATCTCCCGGGGGAACTAGAGCCGACTCTTGAACACTTCACCAAGCTACCCCGCTTGTCGGCTTGTGTTCACTCTAGTCTTGGACTTCCCAGTGGGCAGCTCATCACCCAACATTGGGTCCGGCCTTCCTGGGCCAAACTGGCCTTTCCTGGCTAAACTGGCTCCACTGCAGTCCTCCCCCTACTATACTTTTGGAGCTCACCAAACCCCCCAGGGTCTGGGAGACGAACGCTTTGGGCTTTCACCCTCTCAGACTCGAACTCGGACTTGGCCTCGGACTCGGACTCGGACTCGGACTCGGACTCGGACTCGGACTCGGACTCGGGCTCAGGCTCGGGCTCGGGCTCGGTCTCGGTCTCGGTCCCGATCTCGGTCTCGGTCCCGGTCTAGGTCTTGGTCCCGGTCTCGACTTCGGACTCCATCTCGGGTCCATCTCGGACTCCATCTCGGACTCCATCTCGGGTCCATCTCAAGTCCATCTCGGGTCCATCTCGGGTCCCATCTCGGGTCCATCTTGGACTCCATCTCGGACTCCATCTCGGACTCCATCTCGGGTCCATCTCGGACTCCATCTCGGGTCCATCTCGGATTCCATCTCGGACTCCATCTCGGGTCCATCTCGGACTCTATCTCGGACTCCACCTCGGCATAGTTACGAACACGAACACGGAACACGAACACGAGCCTCAGATTTCAGGAACTCGAACACGGAACACGATCACGGCCCACGATGGCTCACGAATATTCTACTGAATATTCTAAGAATATGTTATTTAAAAATTATATTCTATTTCTTATTATATTATTAT